TATATACTCACAGTACTTCGAAGTTTATCTAGAAGCAAATTTAACTGTGTCTGTAAAAAAAAAGTCAATTTATTATTACAAAAAGCAAAAGTGCACAATGACATCAGTTAATATCAGTTTATCAATTTTAGAATAAAATAACATGCAAGTATGTTCACATACAACATATTATAATTGGCAACCTCACGTACAAGCCCTTTAACAGATGCACCATGCAAAATGGCTTATGTAATGCCAAGGACAATCATTTACTATACTTACAGAAGACTTATATAATTAAAAGACAAAAAATAGCAATTCTTTAAGACATACATGCATATTTGCAAGGTGGGGTGAATGCACAAAAACGTGTACAAGCAATGAAGGAACTAAAGAAATAGTTCATATTTGACTCTGTGACAAACTAGGTGTAGTTTAAGTCACACGCCATTAAGAATGAAGACATTAATGGTATACATTAGGATTGGTTTTTAAAGAAACTTAGTATAAATAATATTGTCCTGCCTAGCTTCAGAAATCCTTTTAAGTATTTTAAACAAAGGAATACATTTCACAGTTCAATTATTTTTTTACACTTGGACAATTTATAAAAACATCCGAGAATGTATATTACAAATTTCATGCTGCTCTGCTTTTAATATTAATGCTCTGATTATAATGTACCCTTACTCAATACATCTAAATTACTTACTTACTACTCTGCAAGGGTTTTATACTGACATGGTCATTGTGCTACTTACAAAAAACAAATTAAGATGTTAATTCTTAAATTAACATACTGGATCAATCATGTGTTATAATTAATAATAATAGATGACTATTGAAAGCATTCTATTAATCAGGCACTGTGTAAAGCTTTCCATGGGGCATTCTCTTGTTTAATTTTATTTAAGGATATATTATTAGTGCCCTTTTACAGGTGAAAACAACGAGGTTCAGAAAGAAAAATAACTTGTCCAACATCATGGTGCTAGTAATGGCAAAGCTAAGATTCCAATCCCAAACTAGGCCTAACACCAAAGCTCATACTTTAATCCTTGATACTACAAGTACACTTTACACATCAGAGGGCAGGATTACATTATAAAAATGGAACGAATGCATCATTGGAGTAAAAAAAAATTAGTTATACTTATTTGGTTGACCAAGACATAACCAAAAATGTTTAAAAAGTAGCTATTTGGAAAGGAAATAACTGTCACAAAGTCCATGCTTCTTAAGACATAGACTAAGCAGTCTCCTCCAATAAAAAGAGATAAGACAGATGAGGAGAAACAGCAAAAAAACCACTAACAGCCACTAAGAGAAAAGGGAAAAAGGCAATTCTCAAAGAACAACAATGAAGGGCCATATGCACAAGGATAAACAACTTTACGCAATTCATGTTTTATTTGTATTTTATTTTTAATATTAAAGCACATGAATACTCATGTTGATAATGACTGAATAATAAATATTTCTATCAAAAAGATTACTAAGTACAGTATTTTTCTAAAATACTGGAGGTACAGGGGTTAAGTTTTAATACCTAAAAATAATCATTTCTTTAAAAAACTTCAGTGATGTTGGATAACTAAGTAATATTATAAAGGGTAGCTGTTATAATATTTCTTTTTATTTAATTGCTTTACTTATTTCAAACACAGCATAATTAACCATTTTATATTTTAAACTAATTTTCTTAAATTAAGAATCACTGTTAATGCATCAATTCAACGTACCTCATGGGAAAAATGAAGTATTATTTTATCAGTAATGTTAATACATGTCATATAAGTAATTGTAAGGTTTTTCCTAAAACACTTAATCCATAAAAAATTGGAAGAATGCTTTTGTTTTTATTTGTTGTCTAAAATGTTAAATATATTCTCACCAGTAATACTACTATAATATCACAGTTGAAAAATATTTAATCTATCTCACATAGACTAATATACTATTTTTAAACCAATTTCTTATCAAATGTCTACTTAAAATTTAACATTTAAGTAAGAAAAAAATATGGTTCCTCAAAGGAATTAGACATTCATAATTAATTTAATTTGCAATAAAAGTTAAAGATTTTTTCTTCAGTTACTTAAAAATGATTAAAACTGTCTTATATATTTATGTTTAAGGCTACAATAAGTACTTTATTTAAACTGATTTTATCAAGTTGTTTATAACTCATTTCAACCCAAAAAGGATCTAAGGAGGAGACCTGGTGTGGCACTGTAGGATAAGCACTTAACCACAAGGTTTGGTTGAACCGCAGTGTCGGCAGTTCAAACTCACCAGCCGCTCCTTGAAAATCCTATACAGGATTGCTATGAGTTAGAACTGACTGCACATCACTTAACAATACTGTCAGATAACATCATAATATTCTCATATATTATTCCTAGTTACATAATCCTAAAAGATATTTAAAGTATATATAGTGAAAGGCATACTTAGAGCTCTTTTACAAAAACAATGATAATACTTAGTAGAAATGTGTAGGAAAGAAATTAATTGTATTTCTCTGTCCTATTAGTTATAGTTATTTGTTCAATAAACTTGAGATCTAAAGGGACTTAAAGTATGTTTTCTATGCTAAAGACTCAATATTTGGAAACATCTAAGATACATCTCATGACAATCTTTTCATAGAACACAAGAAAAATTCCTGACCCAAAATTAATAAAACAAAGTCAATGTTCTTTAGGGTTAGGTAAGCAATTTAAAAGGTTTGCCACACCCAAGCAGTTACCGTTTACAGAGTTATTAAAAGCTTTAATCACATTTTAGTGTAATGTGCACACCCATAATGCCACTGTGAGAGAAAACACTCTAAAAAGGAATTACTGACTGAGTCATTAATTTGAGCCAGGTCCTGTGTAACATTGCAGCCGCTCTATAGTAGGAGTCCAGGAAGGTGATCATTTACCTGCAGCCCCTGGCTGTGCCTGCTTTTCCTCTCTCACCTCAACTAGTGCTTTCTAGCCATCGTGAGCTGGACTACTCCAGCTAAAACAAAACTGCTGAAGAAGGAAGGAAACAGAAAACAAGTGGGAAAGGTAAGGTTGGAAGGTCAATCAGACAGTAAGCAGAAGCAAGAACATTAGGCGAGGTAATTGGATATGCTAAGCACCAAGAAAGAACATATTCAGAAAATTACAAGCATTTCTGTATGTTCAATAATTACATCTCCCTTACGATATTTCACATATAAACATCAACCTTGCAGGGAATACTATTGAACTTTACTCACTGCATTTGTAACAAGTGGTCTACATTATTCATTTTAGAGTATAAAACATTATAATTTGTCTCACATTCTATTTAAAAATCAAAAAATTTATTTAACACAAATACCTTAAATTTGTTTCCCACACTGATGAAGCTGAGTTTTCCTGCTTTTTGTTTAGTATCTTTGTTGTTATTTGTGGATGATTCAAATAATTCCCGTATAAATTTATCTCTGGATTCACATATTAAAGACTCAAGGGACATGTGTAGGGCATCATTATTTTTCTCTACAAACTGAGTCTGAAAAATAAATCAAATAGGAATGCTTCCATCCATCTTATGATCACATCCTTTAAAACATTGCTCTCCAACTAAACTTTCTATGATGATAACAAAGGATTCCAGGATTCCAACCTGTGTGACACAATGGTTAAACACTTGTCTGCAAACCAAAAAGTTGGCAGTTCGAATCCACTAGACATTCTGTGGGAGAAAGGCATGACAATCTACTCCCCTAAATATTTCAACCTAGAAAACTCGGAGGGGCAGCTCTAGTCTGTCCTATAGGGTTATTATAAGTCATTCTCCACTCACAACACACAGTAACAAGAATGATCATGAAAATGGTCTATATCTGAGCTGCCAACACAGGGTCCACCAACTAATAGGGTATTGAATACGTGAACTAGAGGTAGTATGATTGATGAACTAAAATTTTAATCAGTCAGTTCAAAATTTAAAACTTTATGTGGCTGGTGGCAGTCGCAAACTTCAAAATCAATTTGATTTCCCCCGTGCCTGGTAAAAGATATACTCACTGTTTCATAGCACACTGCTCCTGCAAAATGTCTAATAATGAAGCCTTCATCATCTCTGATATTTCTATGAACTGCAAGTTTAGATTTTCTGGGAATCTGAAAAACATTACATACAATGGTTATTGATTTATCAAAAAAATTACATGATTTTAATTTACAAAATATTTGTGATATAAAATAGCTGCAAAATTACAAAAAGTTTTCATACCTATATTGTTCCTAAACATCTAATATGTGCTGAAACCTATCAAATATTTGGTTATAATTTCTTAGGAGAGAGAAGGCAATAATGCTATTTAAAATAAAATAACAAGCATAGGCAAAAACATATTATTGTTGCTGTTGTTAAGTGCCGTTGAGTCGGTTCCAACACGTTGTTGTTGTCAGGTGCCATCGAGTCACAACCGACTCATAGCGACCCCATGCACAGCAGAACGAAACAATGTCCGATCCTGGGCCGACCTCACTACCGCTGCCACACTTGATGCCATCAATGACGCCACCTGGCTGATCCTGTATAGAGTTTCCAAGGAGCAGCTGGTGAGCTTGAACCACCGACCTTGAAGTTCAAAGTGACTTTGCAGTCCAGTGCATTAACCCACAGTGCCATACCATATTAGGATCTTATAAAGCTAATTGCTTATTGTTAAAGCAGTGGTTCTCAACCTTGGCAGCTTATTTAGATTACCTTGGAAAACATTTTAAAATCCCACTGTCCATAGCACTTACCCATCAGGTGATTCCTATACACAGCTAATGTTGAGAACCATTGACCTAAAGAAAAAACCTGAAATCCTTTTTTTTTTGTACACAATAAACCCAAATTTTTTTGAGGGAAACCCTCTGCATATCGGGGGTCGCCATTTGTCATAATCAATTCAACAGCAACAACAACAAATCACTTTAGATGTGTACTAAGTGTAACATTTTGGAAGTTTGCATCATATTCAAACGTTTCAAAAGGGTTTTCTAATACAAGATCACGTCTGACCTCAAAATAACCTAAGGCTAAGAAAGACAATCTCACTTGAAAGTAAAAAAAAAAGACTTGGGAACCTTCTGTACTTTGCTTGAGATCAGAGAGCTAGCAGACCACAGTGCCACTTTCCTCTATGGGAGGCAATACACCAGAGCGGAGTCCTAAGTCAAGCTGCCTGGGCCTGACTCCCAGGTCCACCACTTCCTCACTATGGGAGACTTCACCTCTCCTTGCGTGTCTCCTGACTATACCATGAGGATCCTAATAGGATCTACCTCAGAGGATTGTTTTGAGGAGCAAATTAAATAATTCCAGTAAAACCCTTTGAACAGTACAAAATAAGTGTTCAGTAAATGACTGTTTTAATTTTTCAAAATAACAAAAGTAATGGCCTATACAAATTGGGATTTACTGCTTTGCTCATATTTCTCTTTTGAGAAAGGAAGCCAAAGTCCATTCCAGACACATTAGTTTACATTGTATGACTGTGAGGCCCTTGCCACAATTTGCAAGCAGTTTGTGATCAGCTACTAAGCAAATGGTTGGAGGCTCAAACCCACCTAGCAACTGCACACAAAAGCCTTGGCAATCTACTTCCATAAAGATGACAGTCAATAAACCCATATGGAGCAGTTCATAGGGTTTTACTAACACAAAGGGGCACTTGAGTCAGGGACTGATTCAATGGTAGGTAACCATAACAGCGGTTACTGTTTACAGTAAAGGTAACCATTTATCCACAGGCTGGTCAAAACAAAGAACTGAGACAGACAGACAGACCATCTTCAATCTTAGAAAATTTTTTTATTGTGGATGCACAGTGTTCTATTTCTATCTCCACTGAACTAAGAGAAAAAGGCTCCATATTACAGGGACCATTTAAGGATACAAAACTCCAAGTTAATGGGGCAGGTAGATTCAGTTCCTACAGAAGGTTAACAGAATCTCAGCAGGTTTTCAAATAAATCCACTTAACCTATTATCTAATACATTCTTGATTTCGTCACTGACACATGGAAACAAGAGTATCCTTCACCATTCTCTTCATCTCTGAGATCCACTAAAGCAATGACTGCCCTGCTAGGTTTCAGTCTCAAAAAAATATATAGTTTAGAGGGCATTTGCCTGTTTTCTTCCCTTCTTTTTTTTTTTTTTAATTGTTGTTGCTATCTAAAGCATAAGGCATCACTTTGGGACTGAAACTGGTATGATCTTTTTCTGTGCTTATCTGTGCTTTTTCTTGCCCAAGTTGTGCTTGTACAATGGATGAGTTTGAAGACAGAGAATTATGTGAATACAGGAAACACCCCAACATTTCCACCACACCTTGTGGAGACCTGCTCTGCTGTTCACCGCTGCACAGGTTCAAGCATGGCTCTATGATACACAGTACTTGAGGGACCAAGTCTTCTGCCTACAATCTTTACTGCTGACCTTACAAATGTGTGGACAGATGGCTGCTTATGACTCTAGGATCTCTTGTGACTCCTGAGTCATGGTCAAAGTCACATGACAGGAATGTACTTATGGGCAGTTTGCTTAGAAGGCAGAACATGAAGACAGCAGGTAAATCTCTTCTATATAGCACAGATAGGTAAAGATACCCAATATGATCAGCAACTGCAGGACAGATGTAGTACACTCTGAGCAGGGTATGTTCTTTCCACCCAACCACTGTCCCCACCACTGCCAGACACTGCAGCAGGCACAATAGCTGCTCCATTACCACTTCACGTCAACACTGTTCTTCCTATTATACCAGCTGGATTCATCCACTTTCATCCCCACTCGGTTCAGAAGACTTTAGATTTGTGACCTATGTTAGTGATAAAGCCTGGAGGCATCTCAGAATATTTACTCCAGTCACTCCACCTGCCTGGGATATCTTTCCACCAGAGAAAGAGCCTCAATTCAACAGATCATCAGCATCAAAAATACAAATAAATGAAATGTTCATCAGTAGAAGATGCTGCATTGGATATATTACAGTTCCTCTAAGCCCTACATAACTCCTAATTCTAATGATGTAATGAAGGTTAAAATAATCAATTAATCTTTTTAAGGATGTCCCTTTCCATCCTCAATCCTGAGTCAATTCCAACTTATATTGATCCGAAGGACAACGTAGAACTGCAAATCTTTACAGACGCAAACAGTCCCATCTTTCTCCTGTGGAGTGATTAATGGGTTCACACTGCCAACATTTTGGTTAGTAGGTGAGCTCTTTTACCAGGGCTCCTTTCTTTTCCCACTATTGAGTCTCAATTTTAGAACTGTAAACTCACAGTGAGTCGGAAATGGTTCTTATGTTTCTGGTGAACTGCAGACGTAAAGTGTTGGTCACTTGGCTGGGGAAGACGATTTTCTTCATCCAAAATATCCAGTATTCCCACTAATTTTGCTTCAATTAAATCTATTTAAATGGGGGGAGGGGACAAAATATTCACAATAAGATAAAAACAACACTGTAAAGACAAGTGGGGATAATTTATCAAAATTTCAAGAACTGGTAAAAAAACAACATAAAGGAATTCTCTAAAAGTACATTAAGAACAGTCCGTTTATATTCCAAATCTAAGAACAGTCAGTTTATATTCCAAATCTGGTCAATTATTAGAAAGAAAAACCATATATTTAGCATAGGTTTTTTTAAACTCCATAAATACAATAAATGATTTAATAAGTTAGGTTAAGAGGCTAAAGATTCAGAAATTTCTCCTCTTCCAAATGACATGTATACTTAAAACTAAGTAAAACCATGGAAGCTTCTGCTTGCATAGCTTTTTTATATTGGTTTAGAAATTTATTTAAATTATGCTTTCAATGCAAAAATGCTCAGTAAAAGTACGCTTTTATGCTCTTTCAATTCATGTTGTTTGAATTTCCTGCCTGTCCAAAATAGCTGCAAAATGTGGACTGCTTAAACTACTATATATAAGAATTGTTAAGTAAAACAGATTCTCAGAGTTACAGGACATACAAATCAGAATTCTAATAACGTTGGTCAGAAAATGATGTTTCTTGGGCAGTTAGTGGTGGTGAGAAGAAAGCAGGGTGTTCTGAACTGAGCCATAAACGAAGTATTGATTGTTATAGAAAGGAGTAGAAGTGGACTGAAGAAAAAATGGAAGAAAAGGAGTTCTATCAAAGTTCTACCAAACAGTCAAAGGCAAAGAGATGGGAAAGAATCTGGGGTGCTAAATGGGCAGATAAGATGTGAACGTGCTCTGATTAAAGTTATACCAGTGTAAATTTTATTGTAATACTATCTTGTTTATACATACCACTTAATGGAATGTCATTACTGACTGGATTGTCAATGTGGGTTTACAAAATAAGGCTTACTTAATGGTTTTAGAGAAGGGACGGGAAAAGAAAAAGAAGGCTCGTGCTAACTGGAGGTCTCCAGGGAAATGCCTCTTTACAGTTAACAGGCTGTTGTTCTTGTTAAGTGCCGTCGAGTCGGTTCTGACACATAGCAACCCTGTATACTGTATAAGATTTGCAAGGAGCAGCTGGTGAACCACTGACCTTGTAGTTCAAATGACTTTGCAGTCTAGCACATTAACTCACAGCGCCACACCAGGACTCCAGTTAACAAGCAGGGAAGAAAAATGTAGACCCTGTTCTCCCACTGCATAGTGTTACCTGGATATAACATGCAGAACTTCTGAAATCAACTTGCAACCAGCCCCGAGAATGCTGCCAATGCATGGAGAAAGATGGAACTGAGTTGTTGCTGTTAAGTGCCGTCGAGTCAGTTCTGACTCATGGCAACTGTTTATAGGTGTTTCAAGGAGCAACTTGTGGGTTTGAACCCCCAACCTTGTGGTTAGTAGTCCAATGCTGATCCTATAGCACCAGACTGACTTTCAGAAAAGCCAAATTATAACAAACCTCCTGGAGCCTGGCCAATCTAGGAACCTCTCATTACATGAGATAATAAATCCTTTACTGTTTAAGCAGTTGAGAGTCTCTGTTAACTGGTTCAGCTGTTTAACCTTGAAAACACCCATCATCATTAATAAAAGGGATTTTAGAAAAACTGTCCTGATAGCTGAATTTGAGACCTTATTCTGAAAAACCACTTTAAAGCAGCAGTACTGGAAAAGTAGAACCTCTTTCAAATATTAAAGTTTCAAATTATATAACCAGTAGTAAAAATTACAGAGCACAGAAAGATTACTATGAAATGCATTCATTATCTATTTCCATATGTGATAGTTAAGGTTTTGTGTCAACTTGACTGGATCAGGATTCTCAGTGGTTTGGTAGCTGAGATGTATCCATCCCCCAGGATGATATCTAATATAATGTAATCACTTCTATGCTGAGATATGCTATGAACAGCCAGTCAACTGAAAGGAAGTTTCCTCAGGGTTGTAGTCATTTCCTATATATTGTACACTCAGGCAAAACTTTCTTGCTTTTTGCTGGGTCTGAACCTTGCTTCTGTTCGCCATCCAACCTCAGGTTCTTGAGGTCTGCTCTATTGCCTGCCGATCCTGAGAGTCATCAGAAGTTTGCCATCTTACCTGTCCAAACTGCCTGCCTGCCACCTGACAAGCATCTTGGTTCATCTGACTAATGGGCTTGGGACTTGCTCACTTCTAAAACTGTTTGAGTTATTTCCTTGATATAAACTTTATATATATATATAAAATGTTGTTAAGTGCTGTCGAATTGTTCTAACTCACAGCAACCCTGAATAGGATTTCTAAGGAGCAGTTGGTGGGTCTGAAACACCACACTTCATGTTAGCATTCCAGTGCTTATTGTACAGTGCCACACCAGGACACTTGATTCCTGGTTTTGCTTCACTAGAGAACTCAGCCTAACACACCATATTTCCCAAAAGCAGAGTTAAATAGTACATACCTATACAGTCCTGATTATCCACATAATGCACTTCATTAACCCCTAGACCTTCTTTTTGATAGAGTTCTTGTTCCTAAAAATAAAAGAATCACAATAGTATAGATGGAAATACTGTGCAACATGAAATTAATTCAGTGTTATATAGCATTTCTGATCATATTATTTGTCAATTAGTCAGAATACAAAGATGTCGATCAAACTTTTGCGGGGAGCTGAGAGGGGTGCCTTACAAAACTTTAAGGGAAAAACCTTGCCCAAAGCACTTTGAAATTAATATAAATTGCTGACAATCATTTATCTTAAAAATAAACACACTTTTCCTGAAATATCTATGGCAACCATAAACAAATACAAAAATCTATTTATAACTATCCAAACTCAAAGAACAGGACTTTGAATTATTTTTTTGCAATTATAAAGCCATACTTATCAGTAGAATGGACCAGGGTCAGCAAACTCTTTCTGTACAGCATCAAACAATAAATATCTCCAGCTTTGCAAGTCCTATAATCTCTATCAAATTACTTTACTTCATCAGTGGGTGAAAGGAGTCATAGATAATAGTAATCAAATGAATAAAACTTTACTTGCAGATTTGGCCCAAGAGACATAGTTTGCTGACCCCTGGAGTAATCAAAGAAACATAAATTATTTTGATAATTTTTTAAAGTTTAAAGAAAAAAAAAACGACTAGTTCCCTTTTGATGTGTCTCATCTATATCACAAAAATCCTAGTTTTCCAGAGATAATATAGAGCAAATTGTGACTATCTGCATACAGACACCAAAATCAAGGAATAGTAAGTAGCTTACTGCAAATGAGCTCTCATTTGATGAAATATAAAGTATGAGAAAGAGTCAAAAATAATCTGTACTCTGGCTGTAGAATTTACTTTAATCACATTTTAGAAAAGATAGATATATTATTTTTTATATATAATTTCCTGCTTTTCAATATATTTTGTCCATCCGTCAACAAGCTCCTATATTCCTGTATTAAAAAATGCTTTAGGCTGAGCTTCAAGCCACAAATGCACTGCTGTCTTCACTTCTTCATCAGAGGTGAATCTTCATCCTTGAAGGGTTGCTTTCAGGGGACCAAACAGGTACAAGTCTGATGCAGCAAGATAAGGATTATTGGGAGGATGCTTTAATACCTGAAAATGACATCTTTGCAGAGTGTCACCAGTGTGTGCAGACATGAATTGTCCTGCAAGATAGCAATGCCCTTGGATAGCAGTCCTCTGTGCTTAATCCAAAGTATAGGCTACAAATCATCAGTGAGCATCTCACTATAATGAGCACTTGTTGATTGTTGAACCTTGTTCCTGATAGTGTTCTAATACTGGCCCGTGAGAATTCCCGAAACTGTACGCATCAATTTTCCAGCTGATGGTTAACTTTTGAACTTTGTATTGGTCAGCAATTGAGGATGTTTCCATTTCACACTTTGCTGTTGACTCTCAGGTTCGCAATGATGAATCCATGTCTCATCACCAGTAACAATTTTTTTAAAGACACTTTTATCTTCCTTCGAGTAAAATTTTGTTTGCAGATGTCTAAATGTTTCTGTTTATGCTCTTTCATGAGTTGTTTCAGCACCCATCTTGGACAAACTCTTCGAAACCCAAGTCTGATGTGTAGTATTTCATAGGCAGAACCATGGCTGAATCCACTGTCACTCGTCTATTGGACAGAATCATTTCACATGCACATCCAATGTTGCCATGATGTGCATTTAATATAACCAGAGTAGGGAAAACTTTTTACTCATCCTCATATATATTCATTGGAAACGATTAATGCAATTTAGAAGAATAACATATGAATCAAAATTGAGTCCTTAGATTTAAGTCTAATATCTTCTTAAATTTTTTTTTAAATATGTATTTTACGATTGACAGTTGAGCTGTACAATGAGCTTACATTAATGTAAGTTTTAACATTTTCTCTATTTAAAAGATTTCAGTCAGTCTAGAGGGCACTGTCAACTTGAACCCAATCCTGAATATAAAATCCACATATTTATTTTAAGATTGTAATAAAAAGTAAACATAACTCAAGACTTAGTCTCCTCTACTATAGTTCCTGTGAGCTCTGGTAGCATAGTGCTTACAAGTCAGGCTGATAACTTCAAGGTCAGCAGTTTGAAACTACAAACCGTTCCATGGGAGAAAGATGATTTTTGTTCCTGTAAAGATTTACAACCTCAGAAATCGATGCAGGGTCACTATTGAGTTGGAACCAACTCCATGGCACATAACCACCACCACCAACTATTGATCCTCTTTCTAAATACGGCCTCTACCTGGAATTGATGTGGAAGGGACAGGTTATGCTAAATGAAAAGAATGCATATAAAACTTCACATGGTAATTGGAGAATAATGCAGCTAGACAAAATATTTTCAGATAAACTATCTTGCCAGAGGTTCTTGTTTTGCTTGTGTGTATTTATATCAGGATCGGTTTGGCTATATTTTGTGGCACTATCAGATAAACACTGCTAACTGCAAGCTCGGTAGTTCAAACCCACAAGCTGCTCTTCAGAAACCCCATACAGGGGTTGGAGCAATGGATAACTAGCTTGTCTGCTAACAAAAATGTTAGCAGTTTAAGTCCACCCGGATGAAAGAAACTTCTGGTAATCTATTTCCAAAAAAATCAGCCACTGAAAACCCTACTCTGTTCTACCTTGACACACATGGAGTTTTCATTAGTGTCAGAAATAAATAATCCAATAGTAATTGGTTATACAAGTAAAATAAAATGAGTACTGGACAGGGTGGTAATAGGAAAGAAATATTTCACATTTCAGCCCAGATTCACTGAAGAATAGAATCTTAGAAAGCATGAAAGCTAATAAAAAGTGAACAGGTGATGTTAGACAACAGCCAAGAGTTCAGATCTCCGTGACTTCGTGTAAGTCACAGACTGCTCTGTGAACTGGTTTCTTCATCTGTAAAGGGCTCAATGTGAAGACCTCTGAAATCCATGTAAGCCTTGTATCTTCATACAGTGAAACATGACTCAAATAACACAAAAGAAGAAAAGTCAAGGGTACTTGTAAGAAAACATTGGAGAAATCAAATTTCAAGGGAAAAAGTGGTGAGACCATGCACAAACTAACTGAGCCAAAGCTGTTGTTAAGTACTGTTAAATCTATATAGGTTTTCCGAGGAATGGCTGGTAGGTTTCCACTGTATACCTTGCAGTTAGCATTCCAGTGTTTATCCTACAATGTCACATCAGGTCTCCAAAGTTAGCCTGATATAGTTTCGCTTCTGTACTTCATAGAGAGCTATAAAGTAGCTTTCCTAGACTTGGTATTCTGAGTGCCTACTGTGTATGAAGTTATTTACTAAGAGAAGTGGCAAGCAGTTCCTTACTGGACCAGAGGGTTCCCAACCAAAGACCCACCATTCACAGGTAGCTGACAGTCTACAAGTGTTCCACACCAAATTTTCCACCAAAATTCCTAACTTGGGGGCACTGATACCGTACAAAGAGAGAGAGTAGATGGCAGAGTGGGCAAAAGAAAGATTTGGAAGAAGAACAGGAGATGCCAGGCAAAGGTGATGGTAAAAATAGAGACAAGAAAAATGGAAAGAGAAAGAGCAGAATTTCAAGTCAACTGAAAGCCACTAAATAAGAAGAAATAGATATTGCTCACTTCGGAGGAAGCACCTGCTAGTGTTCTGATTGGGTCCCCAGAGCTCCAGCTATACCATTAACTAGTCCATTGTGCCCGAACAACAGCTAATCCACTGGGGCCTATGCTGCAGTTTCTTCATTACTTGGCTTACCTTACATTATACTGCCTCAATCAGGATAAATGCAGCACAACTCTGTTCCTTGACATTTAAAATAGTTTAATTCAGTTGTTAAAATATAGTGGTAATTACCTCCTTCAGAATCCTTTCATTAAAAAATTGCTGAAGTTTTTCATTGCAGTAGTTGATGCAAAATTGTTCAAAACTGTTATGTTCAAAGTACTCTGAAAACATAAAACCAGAATCAAGTCACCATCAGGTCAACTTTGTATTATAAATTCACCTCAGGGAAAAATGTTAATATACTATAGCATAATTAAACATAATATGGAAATAAAATCTATGCAACTGTTCTATGTCCCACAAATGCTGAATTTGAGATTTAAATTTTGTTTTTATCAAATTGAAGTAATTGAAAGTAGTATTAAAAATACCTCCCTTCACTTGACAGAAAAATTTGTCGTATGAAAGGTCATATGGTAAAATATATTAAAAGTCACTTTCTAATATAAATTTTAAGCAAAAGTATTAAAACAGTTTGAGTTAATAAAAACAAAAAATGGCTCAAAATGCAAGTGCTTTAAAGATATTTTGCTATACAATCTGTAATATCAAAAATGCTGAGTACTATTTTCTGGTATGCCATCTATAACATTGTATTTATCGAAACTGCTGTGAATACTACTTTCTACCATTCAGTCATTGTACTGAATGATCCCTAAGATCACTATGGAGTCCACACTATGAGGTGGCGCTATAGGATCAGCAATGTCCTGCTGGCGCAAGGTCAGCATTTCAAACCCATCGGCTCTGGTAGTGTAGTGGTTACGAATCGGGCTGCAACCCATAAGGTCAGCAGTTCAAAACTACCAGCTGTTCCATGGGAGAAAGATGAGGCTTTCTGCTCCTGTAAAGATTTACAGCCTCGGAAACCCTGTGCAGGGTTGCTATGAGTTGGAAACAACGCCACAGCACATAACCACCACCACCAGCTGCTCCTAGGAAACTCTATACAGGGTCACTATGCATCGGAACCAACTTGACAGCACTTAACAACTCTACAGTCCTAAAATTATATGATTCTATGTGTGTGTCTTAAACTAAACTGGCACAGGGCAGGAAATAAATGTCTTAAAATATTGTGAAATCTTAATTCAATTATAGGTGTTTCTCTACCTTGAAGCAAATGGTAATTATTTACTATTAATTTTTAAATAAACATCAAATCAGATTGGCAAAACAAAAACCCTGCTCCTCCCAAAATATGAACGCACCACCTTCACCCTTGACAAAGGCAAATAAACACAGGGAAAAGACACCACTCCTACATGGCTAATGGACCACCCACATCAATAAAGCCCAAACAAAACCTAGTCCCAACAAGCAGATTCACTCTGAGAATTTTACAACAGTCACTAAGAACAAAGTAGAAGCACTGCGATCTAGGGGCCCTTTTATTTCTGGCTGTACCACCTCAAAGTTGCTCTTAGTTATTATTTATTTTGGTCTTCATTTGATGGAAATTAATTGGAAATAGATATTTGTTTACAACTAACAAAAATGCAGAAAAGTCAAAAGTAAGAAACATTGGAAAAGTCAAATGTCGAGGAAAAAGTGGTGAGAGTAACCATAAATTAACTGAGCTAAAGTTGTTGTTATTGTAAAGTTCCATTGAATTGATTCTGACTCATAGCAACCCTGTATAGAGTTTCCAAGGAATGGCTGGTGGGTTTGAACTGTGGACCATATGATTAGCAGTCTAATGCTTATTCTACAAGCTTTTATACAAGGTAATCAGGTTGGCCTATAAACTAGGTAAATCTATATTTAGTGTACCATGGTAGTCAAATTTTTTTACTATAAATAGGAACTTTCTTCTGCACAATTATTCAAAGTTCATTAACAGAGGAACAGACTGAATGGGAATGGGAACTTTCTTCTGCACAATTATTCAGAGTCCATGGACAGAGGAACAGACTGAATGGGAATGGGAGGAAGAATGGGATATATGTATATATATATATTTATATGTCCCACCAATGTATGAGTTTGAAAGAGGATATTTGTACCTGAGTAACCACAGGGAAGAAATGGGACAACTGGTGTTGCATGGAGGGGACTGCCATCACTGAGCTGAAACAAAGTGTAGGATTTGACTTCTTCAATGCAAAACTGATGATCCTTCACTCAATTCCCAATAAATACAGTATTCTAAAAACATTTGGTGACAATTATCTGTATTAGTAGCACTCAAAAGTTTACATACTTTCTTTTTTAAACTTTTTATTGTGAATTAAATGAAGGTTTACAGACAAGATCATCAGTTTTACATTCAACAAATCATGCACTTTGTTTCACCTCAATAATTACAATCCCCTCTGGGCAACAACAGTTATCCCACTGCCTCCCTATGGCTCCTATTTCCATTTTACCCACCTTCCCATGCCTTCTCACCACTGTCCTTAAATACATGTTGCCCTTTTGATTTTGAATGGTTGACCACGTCATCATTCATGGTAAGCATACTTTACTAGTGTTGTTGTTCCCCTATATACCTAACTACTGCATGGCTGAAAGTTGGACCATGAGGGTGAGTTTCTTTTCCAAACATGAAAGGTGGTCAATAGTCATGATCTCGGATTCCTTCAGTCTCTTTCAGACCAGTAAGCCCTGTTTTTTTCTTTTCCTTTTTTTTCCTCAATAGTTTTGAGTTTTGTTCCACATATTCTGCCACTTTATCCAGGACCCTTTCAGAGCAGTTGGTAGTGGTAGCTGGGCACCATCTAGTTCTTCTGGTCTCAGCATCATGGAAGCTAATGTTCACCTGTTCTATTAGTCTGTTAAGCTAGTTCATTCCAAGCATCTTCAGTTCTCAACACTCTTCTTTCTTATGCACATGGAGAGGCCACTCATTAGCTTTTACTATCTCAGATGCTACTCGCCAAAGTAAGGTGTAAAACATTGCCTTTGTGGGCTATGTTATGCCAACTGACCATAGTGTTCCCTGAGACTAGGGTCCTGAGCCCCTAGTCTCAGCTAGCTATTCACAGCCTTGAGAAGTCTGATAATGTCTAAGAAGTTTTCATCATTTTGCCTGCTGTATGTCCACTACATTCATAGCTGTGTTTGGAGGAAAGGTAAATACTCATGTGCCAATATCCTCTTACAAAATCTTGTATATCTGTGAGATATATGCACATGCATGCACATATGCATGTGCATACACACACTCATATATATGTGTGTGTGTGTGTGTGTGTGTGTGTGTGTGTGTATACACCACTCTTCCTCCCACATCCATATCCATGTATCTACTCCCAGAACATTGTTGTTCCAGGGTTGCATATATGTCAGTATTTACCTCTACACCCCATTTATCTCCTTTAGCCCTTATATACCTCCCTTTTTCTTTACCTATCTTCATCATTCTTCTGCCAAGTTTTATTTATCTAAGAGTAAAGAGACATCCCTAAACTATAGTGGTTTCATTCAACATGATCTAATTTCAGTGTTACTGTGACCAAAACTACCCATATGAGTTTTTTTCGTTTTTTTCAGTTTCTTACTTAAATCATATTATGAAATGTAGGTTTGTGCGTATAGGTTAAAATACATCAGGTAATAGGCACTATGATAGAGAAAAGCTTATGTTTTTTTAAAAAATTTTTTTAAATAGTGTGGAAAACTAAATAGAAAATAATCAAATTTGGTAAGAAACTATACTTACCAAAGCCAGCAATATCTAGCACGCCAATAAAATATGTCGATGTTTCAAAAGGAAAACACTGATTTACTCTGTTTACCACATGATCAAAGAGATGGCTATACACGGTCTTTGCCAATGCATCACGGGCATTGTTTGCTTGCTCCACTTTCAGGGGCACCCTATAAGAGAACATGATACCAGTGAGAATTATTTATAATGATGTTTCCAAAGTCAAAGTAAACCTAAACATATTCACCATGAAGAACAAAATAGGAACTTTCAAAGGGTCATATGTGAATAAGCACAGAGAACTGAGACTGAGTGAAAAACTTTGAGAGAATTGTTTGCAATTACATTTTAAAAATCATCTAAACCCACTACCATTATCAGTTCCAACTCATAGATACCCTAAAGGATAAAACAGAACTGCTCCTAAGAGTTTTCAAGACTATAAATCTTTACAGGTGTAGACAGTCTCATCTGTGGAACAGCTGTTGGGTTTGAATCGCTGGCCTTGCAATCACTAGTACAATGTTTAATCCACCAAACCACCAGGATTCTTTTTTAAAAAATCATCTATATTAGATAAACAAAAATATATTATTGGGTAAAAGAACTTTATTGTTGTTGTTAAGTGCTGTCGAATCAGTTCTGACTCATAGCAACCCTTTATAGACCTTCCAAGTAATGGCTAGTGGGTTTTAATTTACACTTCAGTATGCATGTTGAAAATACAAAAGAATATTCAGAGAAATATTTCCATGAATACTAAAATAATCATGTTCAGGATAATTTTAAAGTTTGGTAACTTGTCTATATTGTTTAGGTAAAAAATGTTCACATTTTAAAATGTGAATTGTCCACCTCAACTGTTAAACGAGTAAGCACAGGGTGTCACATGATCTGACGCTGCAGATTCAGTAACACAATTCATGTTCATGTTAAAATTAGCTTTGTGAAGGGAAAGTGGCATAAAAGAAAATTTCCAACCTGTAACAAATGCTGTCATAAAAGTTTACATGGAGTACCATAGGAGCATCAGAAAAAAATCTCAGATTTGAAGGGATCCTTAAAGTCATCCAGGTCAGCCTAATGCCTCTAAAAAGTGGATTTGTTTACAGCAACAGAAAATGCCCACAACAGAACTCTTTCTACAAGTGAATATTATGTGGACACACCATGAATTAAGGACCTAAAAGAACTGCTTTGAAGCAAATGTGAAATGGAGAAAGTGATACTTGGGGAAATGTCCATGAGGCCTTTATGGGTTGCTCCTGGGCCTCTGAGACAACTTTGAGGAAGCAAGCAAACGTTAGTACATTGGTCTACATCCTCCTTGTCAGATTTTTCTTTATAACAAATAATTTATAATAAAAAATAATTTGAAATTAGCTTAGAAAAGAATAATGAGGCTACGTACACCTTGCTAAGACTCCAGAAATGATGGGGCTACAGAATTCTTTGGGTGAATCATTTTATATATGTATCTATTTCTAAAACCCTTTGAAAAGAGCTCTGGTAGTGCAGTGGTTACAAGTTGGGCTGTTAACCTCACGATCAGCAGTTCAAAACTACCAGCAGTTCCGTGGGCGAAAGATGAGGCTTTCTGCTCCCTTAAAGATGTACAACCTCGGAAACCCTATACAAGGTTGCTATGGGTTGGAACTGACTCAACGGCATTTAACAACAATAAAACCCTTTGAAAACCCTATGGTGCACAGTTCTACTCTAGCACACAGTGAGTCACCATGAATTGAAGTCAACTCAATGGCAACTGATTTAAACATTTTTTGAAAGTCCATCTTTTAATTTGTTGGAAAAAATTTCAGAAATATATCATAGAACCCACTGCATGCATTATTTAGCAAGGAATAGAGGATCTAATATTTTCTCCCTACAGCTGAAAATGCAACAGTGGCTCTCAATGATAATCTGAATATTATTTTAATTTCCAGTAACAAAAGTGAAAAGTTATAAAACATATAGCATTGAACCAAAAGGTATACATACACCCAAATACAATCTATAGATTGATGGTTACTAATTTTTAAAATCTTAGCTATGCTTTTTATAATGTTCTCTAAACACAGAATTCTAAGGTTTAAGGGGAAATTCCATTTGCTGAATGATTTCCTAAAGTCAGTTCTATGTAGAAATTATGGTATATGTACCACTGTTTACATGGAAACACACTCTAAAGTACATAATCTGTAACCTACACCAGTCAAATATTGAGTTACACAATTAGCTCTTTATTTTCATTATTGAATGAAAATAAACTCCCTTCTTAGCTTATAAACGTGCCACGAAATATATCTGCAAGAGAAAAAGAGGTATTAAAGTACCCATTTATTTATATCACGATTTATTGCAGTGAGATGGACAGAATTTTGATCTAATAACACAGGTTTTAGAACATTATAATGTAAAGAATGAATGATGCATAAAGAAGGGCTTTAGGACTCAACTCCAGGACAAACTGCGGCAGGATTTTTAGGAGTTTAAGGTACTTACTTGATAACTGTTCCTTTAGTGCCCCCTGCTGTTGTAAGCATGACTCTTGTGGTTAAACTCACACGAAGATCATCTTGATCCAAACCCAATAACTCAGCACAATATTCCAAAGACTGAGTAGATTTATTCTTCAGGTTACAACCACCTAATAAACATATATTTTAATTTGAAATTAATAAACATTTTGTACACCAAAATTTTAAGGTTCATTTCTTTGAATTACATTTTACTTCAAAACTATTGAATCCACATGTCTTATCTGTAAGTTCTTCTTACTTTTTCACCACCCTTGCCAGACATTCAGGACTCCTGGTACAGCACTGTGGGATAACGCACTGGACTGCAAGGCTGGTCTAAATTGCAAGATCAGCAGTTTGAATTCACCAACCACTCCTTGGAAACTCAATACAGAGTTGCTATGAGTCGGAACAAACTTGAAGGCATTTAATAACAACATCAACAGCCAGACACACACACCAAGGTCGCCTCAAAGCCCTCAGTTGTTGTTGTTGTCATTAAGTGTTGTTGAGTCAGTTCTGACTCAAGTAGCCCTGTATAGGGTTTCTGAGGAGTAGCTGGTGGGTTTGAACCACCGACCTTATGGTTAGCAGCACAGTTCTTATCCCACAGTGCCACATCTGGACTCCATCAGTATTAACCTGCTATTATTTCATTTTTATGACCCTGTAAGCAAAATATAGGCACTCTGGTAGCGTAGTAATTACAAATCGGTCTGTGAACCACATGGTAAGCAGTTCGAAACTACCAGTTGTTCTGCAGGAGAAAGATGACTCTTTCTGATCCCATAAAGATTTACAGCCTTGGAAACCCTGTACAGGGTCGCTATGAGTCAGAACTGACTCCACAGCACATAATCACCACCACCAAGTAAAATATGGGGCGCACCATATGATAAGCACTGGACTGCAAACCACAAAGTCTACGGTTGGAGCCTGCCAGCTGCTCCATAGGAGAAAGATGAAGCTTTCTGTTACCACAAATATTTTTAAAGTCTCAGAAATCCTATATAGGGTCGCTATGAGTCAGAACCGATTCAACAGTGCTTAACAACAAGAAGCAAAATATACTAATCATGAATCATAGTCTTTGCAATACATTAAATCTCAGGAGAAATACCAGTCCCTAAAGAAGGACATCATGGTTGATAAACTAAAGGGTTAGCAAAAAAGAGAAAGACCCACAACAAGATGGACTGGCACAATGGTTCAACATAACAACAATTGTGAGGATGGTGCAGAACCAGGCAGTGTTTTGTTCTGATGTACATAGAGTTGCTATGAGTCTGAACCAACTTGACAGCACCTAACAACAACAATGAAATTTCTAAGTTTCCAAATGACTTCAAGGAGTAATTTTTGTGGCAAAAGTTATAATATGCTTAAATAAGTCTCTTTGGATAAGGGTGTGTATCTAGGCATGTATGAATGTGTGTGTATATATGCATGTGCTCCTTCTACTTGGAGATGGAGAGACAGGATGAGTAGCCAACTGCTACTACCTGAGCCCTGGTGGCGTAGTGAATTGTGCATTGGTCTGCTAACCATAAAGTCAGCATTCTGAACCCACCAGCTAGCTGCTCCATAGGAGAAAGAAGAGACTGTCTGCTCTGGTGAAGATTAACAACCTTAGAAACCATATAGAGGGAACAGTTCTACTCTGTCCTTTAGGGTTACTATGAGTGGGAATCAACTCAATGGCAATGAGTTTGGTTTGGAGTTTATACGTCATATCTATTACATTGTTGCTAAGCGCCATCTAGTCAGTTCCAACTCATAGTAACCCTGTAAAGGGTTTCTAAGGAGCAACTGGTGAGTTTGAACTGCCAACTTTATAGTTTGCAACCCAGTGCTGATCCTACAGTACCACAACTGGAGTCAATATCTATTACATATTTATATTTATAGAAACTATCAAAAAAATATATAGGGACAGAATCCTAGCATGCTATAGAATATGAGTTGATATGACTGTCTACCCTTGACTACCTGCATGACCTTGAGCAAGTGACACTCTATGCTTCATCTCAGTTTCTATAAATGGTGACAATAGTATAAGTCACATTGTTGTTGTTGTTAAGAGCCATCGAGTCGGTTCCAACCCATAGCAACCCTGGATAGGGTTTCCAAGGAGTGGCTGATGAGCTTGCACCGCCAACCGTGCAGTTCAAATGGCTTTGCAGTCTGGCGCATTAACCCACAGTGCCACACCAGGACTCCCATGTATCATATAGGGTTGTTACCAATGTTAACAAGTTAACCTAGGTGATGTTTTATAATTTTGCCTGGTACATAGCAAGCACTGTATAAAGATTAATTACTATCACTACATAAATCATTACTGTTACTGTAATTATTACAGTAATAAAATAGTGTTACTGTAATTATAATTGCTAATATTTAAAATACTAAACATTTTACAAATTTTTAAGTTAATTATTGTATAAGCGCTTCATTTCAAAACTATCTAACTCCAAAACTACAAAGGACATTTGAAAATCATATTGAGAATTTGATCATGATATATAAGTAAAATACTTAATAGATCATTCTCAGAAGAAACAGAACATGGGATCTTACAGGAATAGGGCTTGTCAAAATTATTCAATGAGATAAGAGTAGTCTTTCCAACAAATGGTGCTAGAACGAGTGTAAAAGAATGAATCCGGATAACTACCCCATACCCTATAATATAAAAATTAACTCAAAGTGGATCAAAAACTTAAATATTAAAACAAAAACTCTCAGAAGAAAACATATATGTCAATCTTCACAAACTTGGAGTCAAAATGGTTTCTTAAATATGAAACTGAAAGAAAAACCAGCACATGAAAAGATAAGGTGGGCCTTATGAAACTCTAAAATGTTTGTGCTTTGAAGAACACTATTCAGAAAATGTAAAGACAACCCATAGAATAGACAAAAACGTTTCAAATCATGTATCTAAAACATGACTTGCATTTAGAATCTATAAGGAATATAAGTATATAAAGTGCTTGTATATATGAATGATCATGGAAAGGATGCAGGTCGATAAAATACAAGCTAATGATTAAAAATAAAAATCATCTAGCTAATTGATGAATTCTTTTGATTCACTGCCTCATTTCACACTTGTCTATTTTCTGCTCATTTTCCCTTCACCAAAGGATAGGTTAGAAATAAAAACAAGAGAAAATGCAAATCGAATATTTACTATGTATCTTACGGCCAGTTAAATATTTTTCTACTAACTGAATCATGTAACGCTTATAATAGTATGTACACATCTGCATGTTCTCTCACAAAGTAATAATATAAAGTGTAAAATGCCATATCACTTCTAGCAACATTTCCAAAGTGCGTACATTAAATACTCTAAACATAAGATCTTCTTGTGCGACTTTGGTACAGCCATGCCACAGAGCAAACAAAATGTATTCTAGCATTCATTACATTTTCAAAATAAGATTTCAAATCCTTCAAAATAAAATAAAATAAAAATTTAATGCACACTAATAACAAATCTTTTATTTTTTTTTTTCCATCTTAAACTGGGAATAATATGTTTTATTTTAATTATTTTTTAAACCTCTTGTAGTACTTACTATGTGCCAAACACTAGTATTCAAAGCATTTTACAAGTACTTATCTCACTTATTCCTCTTCACAACAAGAAATAAAGACTACTATTATTCTCAGTTAACTGGTGAGAAAGCTGAGACATAGTAAGGTGAAGTTACTTGCCCAAGGTCACACAGGCAATGAGTGGTAAAGCAGTCTGCTTCAAAAGAATCTGCTCTTATCCACACCACTGGGTTGTATCTCCTATATTGATTTCTTAGCATCACAGGAAATCCTGAAACTCATTAAGTCTGTCCATTTCAATCTGCTCATTCACAGATCAGGACCCTCAGGGAACATCAGTAACTGGACAGTAAGGGACAATTAGCATAAGTTCCTGAGTTATTAGTTGTTGCTGTAATTAAGTGCCGTCTGGTCAGTTCTGACTCATAGCCACCCTGTACAGGTTTTGTGGGGAGCGACTGGTGAGCTTGAACCGCTGACCTTGTAGCTCAAATCGACCTTGCAGTTCAACGCATTAACCCACAGTGACATACGAGGAGTAGGACTAGTGTAAATTCGGACTCTCACATTTACATCTTCATTTAATTACCATATTACCTAACTTTTCCACAAGTTCCATTTGTATAAAATGAAGACAATACATCCTGCCTCATAAGTCTATTATGATCTTTAGGTGAATACAGTATATTAAGTGTCTACTAAGTGTCCCATTCTTCTTGGATCAACTATCAACACTCACGGAAGCAGCAGTCAAGAGATCAGATGACGTATTGCATTGGACAAATCTGCTGCACAGGAACTTTTTTAAAGTGTTGAAGAACAGAGATGTCAGTTTAAGGACTACGGTGCGCCTGACCCAAGCCATGGTATTTTCAATAACCTCATATGAATGTGAAAGCTGGACAGTGAATAGGAAGACCGCAAAAGAATTGATGCCTTTGAGTTGTGGTGTGGGAGGAGAATACTAAAGGTGCCATGGACTGCCAAAAGAACCAATAGATCTATTTTGGAAGAAGTGCAGCCAGAGTGCTCCTTGGAGGCCAGGATGGCTAAGCTTCGTCTCTCATACTTTGGACATATTGTCAGGAGAGAACAGTTACTGGAAAAGGATGTCATGCTGGATAAGATGGAGGGTCAGAGAAAAAGAGGAAGACCCCCAACGAGATGGACTGGCCAAGTGGCATCATTGATGGCATCAAGTGTGGCAGCGGTAGTGTGGTTGGCCCAGGATCGGACATTGTTTCATTTTGCTGTGCATGGGGTCGCTATGAGTCCGTTCCGACTCGATGGCACCTGACAACAAGTGTCACATAGTTGACACTTTCTTTAAATGACCATTTTCCCTTCTCTTATGATTTTTACCTATATGAATAATAGCACTTGTTGTTGTTATGCATATAGGTAAAAATCACTTTGCGAATCAAATCAACTTTGCAATCCAGTGCATTAACCCATAGTACCACACCAGGCCTCCACATACTAGCACTTGTTTTATTTGTTGTTGTTGTTGTTGTTGTTAAGTAACATCAAGTTGGTTCTGACTCATATCAACCCTGTAGAGGATTTCCGAGGAGCAGCTAGTGAGTTTGAATCGCCAGCGATGCGGGTCAAAGCAACCTTGCAATCCAGCGCATTAACCCACAGTGCCACACACCACTAGGATACCTTAAAAGCACTTCCCATGGATTAATTCATTTTATACAAGAAGAAACCAAGGCTCAGAGATTCTCTGGAAGCAAACACTAAGCACGTGTGTTGAGTACTGTACCCAAAGTAAGTAAAAAAGTATTGCTACAAAATCACAGATAATTTTGTTAAACAAAATATCAAACTGTGAAGCCACTGATTCTCAACATATCCTCTGTCTAGGTCTACACACTTTTGAAGACAGTATTTCCATCTCTCCAACCCTTCCCCCAGAGTCCTAGTGTGGTGTTGTAGGTTAATGTGCTGGACTGCAAAGTCTGTTTCAACCAAAAGGTTAACAGTTCTTTCCCCAAAGGACTCTGAACTCATCAATTTACACGACATCAAACCTTACACGACATCAAACCAGCAGCTTTGGAATCCTGGAGAGATTCAAATTGTTCTCTTTTAAATAAATGTTCTCTGCATTTGGAGAACAAAAAAAAGTCTATAGGGCCAAGATTGGCATATAGGGTGGATGGGCAAGCTTTCCCAATGAAATTCTGGCAGGATAGTCCTTGCTACCCCAGAAGAAAGCACAGGTACATTATTGTGATGAAAGGAATTCCTCAGCACAATTTCCTAGACTTTTTCTCAACAATGCAGTTTTCAATTTTCTTAAACCTTCCTCATAATGAACCATAATGACCATTCTGTGTGCCTCATGAAAATTTGTCAAGATTACCCCTTTGGAATTATAAAAGACATGCAGGTATCTAAATATCATTTTCATTTGCATAAAGCAAGATGCATTTACATTTTTCATTAATAAAGTTAAGTGCCATCAAGTTGGTTCCAATTTATAACGACTCTGTAGAGTTTTCAAGGCTGTAAACCCTTACGGGAGTAGAAAACCTCGCCTTTCTCCCGTGAAGCAGCTGGTGGGCTTAAATCACTAATCTTGTGGTTTGCAATCCAGTGCTTATCCAACAGTCACGACACTCCCAAAAGTATATATGCATATCTATCATTTGCTAAGGTGTATTTGATATATATTTAATTATCATACTAAACTGATCTAAATTTAGATCTATGATCCAGAAAAAACATCAAATATACCTTAGCAAATAATAAAGAACTACATGTTCACTTCCAGAAAAAGTATAATGTCAGTTGAAATTTTGGTTAAGGGTTCTGCTGCTGCCTGAAAGACTGGCAGTTTGACCCCATTCAGCAGCTTAGTGGGAGAAAGACCTGGTTTGCATTGATAATGATTACATCTAGGAAAACCCTGTGGGGCAGTTCTATGTTGTCACATGGGGTTGCTGGGTCAGAATTGACTTGACAGCACCAAACAACAACAATCAAGGTTACTTGTCCTTTAAAAAACAAGAGGTTTATTCCCAATTAATTCATAACAGAGCTCATAAGGCTGATAATAAAGTATCCCTCATTTGGGAAATTCATCATGTAACATCTTATTCTAGAAAATTCAGGGTAAATATTAATGAACATGCATATAAACAAATTCAATTACATATGACAATGAAATGACAGAATTTCTCTGTAATATGTTTTTCTTTAAAAAAACAAACAAAAAAACCTGAAGTGCTGCCGGCTTCTTCAAAATCAATATTTCCCAGGTGCAGGACACCAGCCACCACCCGAAACAGATCGAGCTTTTCTTCATCACCCAAACCAATCTTTTTCATGGCTGTGCACATTCTAATAAAGTCTCCATGGTCATCTAACAGAGGATCTTTCAAGGAACCTGCCTTAAGATACTATAAAACAAAAAGTCATCAATTGACTGATCTTTATATTATGCAAATAAAGTAAAATTACTATAACCAGGTCTATTAATGAACTATATATAACATGCAAAAAAAAGTTTTCAATGGAAAAATTGTAGTATTCTAACACATTAAAAAACTGAATGACTGGGTAAAGTACATATGAGATCTCTGTATTAAACTTAGTACAACTATCTGTGAATCTATGATTACCTCAATAAAAATTTCAGTTAAAAATAAATGAGATGTTTTCCAATTAAATTAAATTTTAACTCTTAAGCACTATAATGCTGAGTGAAAAAGATGAGAGTATCTGTAGTTACGTCATCATGAATCCACAGAACAAAAAGAACTGAGGTTAAAAAAATATGTTCTAAAAATTTAGATCTGACATTTAGCATCATACTCCTTCAGGTTAACTGCACCAATATTAAACATTAACAGACAATGAATGGCTGACAGATGTGAAGTTTGTTCTGTTATACATAAGGTTGTCATCAGTCAGAGCTGACGCAATGGCAACTTTAACAATAAGAATTTATGCAATGACTTAGAACATTTCAGATAACGAAGAGAAACTGTGTCTTAGGTTTTCTTCTAAAATGACTTATGGTTAGTCATTTGCCAGAAACTACAGCAAACTCAGAAAGAGTGAAATAGTCAGGTCTGTATGAACATAAGAGTTACGGGACATGAAAAGACAAAACTAGAATTTTCCAGAATCTGAGAATGAAGAAATATAAGTAACACAGGATCAGAATCAATTGGCCATTAAGACTCTTTAAAGAGATGCCTCCCACATCACCCCCCCAAATGGATTCTCTATTAAAGTAGCAATTGTTTTTTTTTTTTTCAACAATTTATTTTAATGTTCACTTATTCTTGTTTAAATTTTCTGGAAAATGTCTAGATAATGAAATTCAATGTCATTCTAAAGAGAAGCAAAGAAAACCACATGCAGCCAGCATAAAAGAAAACACATACTATGCAGAATTTTTAGTCTTGTAACTGAATGCTTTCTTCATTTAAAAATCATTTCAATCAAACATTAATGAATATTGCTATTATGGCAGACTAAAAATACTGCATTCTCTCAAAAAATTGCACACGGTTTTAAAACACTCTAATTAAAGTAAGCACATATTAGTTAAAATGATCACCTCATCCTCCTGATAAAGAAGACATAAAAAGTAATTTAGACACATTAATCCATTGTAAATTTACATATGTAAACACTCAGTAAAGTGATTATTGACAGACAAAATATGCTTACTCCAGAATTAAAAAGAGTACAGGATTTTTTTTTTCTTTGTAGAGTAAAATCTGGTTTTGTTTTCCCTCTAATCAGTTTTTCCCAGGCCAAAAGGGATCAAATTTATATTCTTTATCTTTTTCCTTTAGGACAGTTCCAATGTCCCACTAAAGAATGTTTCCATTATCTTAGTGGAGAGAATATAACTTCTATATTATCATGATACCTTATAAAATATATTCTTATCAAGATGAAGGAAGATACTCTAATAAATATTAATGCTGCTTCTTAAAGTTCCAACCATGGCTATAATAAACTTCAGGTATTTGTTTCTAAGATGGTGTATAAAATGTCAACTTAAAAGTTAACTGAAGCATTGTTTGCTTAGCACTCAAAATAATGGGAATTTTTATTTACTTTCTGTTCTTTCTATTTGTATATTAAAGTCATAATTCATCTCACTCATTTGAGGAATAAAAATATTTGACTTATAATATCAATTGAATTATAAATTGACTTCAACGAAACTTATTCAATTAAATACTCAATGTAATCTTTTAATAGAATTAATAAAGGCATTATTAACTGGTACCTATAATTAATCCCCGCCTACCATTTTGTCATTGAAACTCCTTGCATAGACATAACTTAATACAGCTTATTACTGAGATAATAAGTAATAATGGGAATAATAAGTAGCAAATAAAAATGGAGTCCTTGTGTGGTACTGTGGGTTAATGTGCTGGACTGCAAAATTGGTTTGAACTGCAAAGTCAACTGCTCAAGTTCATGAGCTGCTCCTCAAAAATCCTATACAGGGTCGCTATGAGTTGAACCAACTCGTGCTGTGGGTTAATGTGCTGGACTGCAAAATTGGTTTGAACTGCAAAGGCAACTGCTCAAGTTCATGAGCTGCTCCTCAAAAATCCTATACAGGGTCGCTATGAGTTGAACCAACTCAATGGCACTTAACAACAACAATTACTAAAATGTATCCTATACTTTGGTAGTGTAGTGGTTACGAATCGGGCTGCAAACATCAAGGTCAGCAGTTCGAAACTACCAGCTGTTCCATGGGAGAAAGATGAGGCTTTCTGCTCCTGTAAAGATTTACAGCCTTTTGAAGTAGACAATAAACTATAATATATTCATTTTAAATTTCTACTGTTATACAGTGTATATATATATATATACATACATACATACATACACAAAGGAGATTCAAAAAGTTCCTGGGAAAAAAATCGATTATTACATCCACTTTTTTCCACAAAAATTGTGAAGTCTCCTGATACTTGAGTATCTCAAATGGGTAATATGAAAGTAAGTTTGAAACTGCTGGAAGAGAATTTAATACTCTCATACTTTTAAAAGAGTATGCAGACCAATGCACTGCAGCTCACCCAAGAAGAAACTCACCCTGTTGGTTCTGTTATGTGTCAGCAGTGGGATCGAGGGTTGGTTATACTGAGAGACTGAATTAATATTTAGGGTTTGTTTTGTGTTTCCTAATGTATAGATCTAAAAGTAAATTACTATTTGGGTTCCAAAATAACTAATATATCTTTAAACATGGTATTTTTGCATTAAATATTTTAATTTAAAAAGTCAGTCTACTATACCTCAGGACTTTTGCGGTTCTGTAAAATCTGTTTGTCAGTTTCCTTGTTAGCAAAGTATCTAGTGCAGCCTCGGTTTAAATACTATGACAAAAAAAAGTAAAAACATAATTTATAAATAGGATCCATAGAAAAAGAACACTGAAGAAAACAAAATTTATTAAGCAGACTAGCCATAAAGAACTTCTAAGCATAACGTGAGTTATCATTTACTCTCTCAATTAAAAGTAATACCCATATATATCACAACATTTTACTCCTACTAAGTACATGAAGTTCTGCTGTGGCATTGTGGGTTAATGTGCTGGAGTGCAAAGTCAGTTTGAACTGCAAGATTGGCAGTTCGAGCTCACCAGTCATTCCTTGGGAAACCTATACAGGGTCGCTATGGGTCAGAATTAACTCAACAGCACTTAACAGCAATAACAATCAAACCAGGGATACTGAACATCCTATCTCCCTGAAAATACATTAAAAGATTAAAAATCAATACACCAGAAATATCCTACTTTAAAAGAGAATTTTCCATCTTAATACCAAATATCCTTTACAAAATATAGTTCATAAGTACTACAAATAATAAGGAGCTCTGGTAGCATTGTGGTAACGAATTGGGCTGCTAACTTCAAGGTCAGCAGTTCTAAACTACCAGCTGTTCCACGGGAGAAAGATGAGGCTTTCTGCTCCCGTAGAGAGATTTACAGCCTCGGAAACCCTGTACAGGGTTCGCTATGAGTCAGAAGCAACTCCACGGCACATAACCACCACCACCACCACCACCACAGATAATGGTGTAGTGCCATAGGATCAACACTAGACTGCAAACCACAAGACTGGCAGTTCAAACCCACCAGCTGCTATAGGCAGAAGCGACTCAGTGGCAATTAGAAACAGCAAAAAGGATAGAAGTTTAGAAGTATGCATTTTAAAACCATAAAGTTTAAAATTTCTACACACACATTTCAAAAACTCCTTGAAATAAGAAGTTGAGCTGAAAAAAAGCAAACAAAATACACACATATATACTCAGAGAGTAAAAATTAAACATGCTCATGTGTGTCATAATCCTAAAAATGGAGGATTCCTGCCCAAATGGGAATATCAGATCCCCCGGTTTGTGAGTTATAATATCTGCAAAGCTGACATGCTGAAGTCTTATTCTCTTCTGCCCTCCCCCCCCCCCCCGCCCGAATAACCTTATTTAGAAACAGGGTTCTTGCAGATGTAATTAGTTAAGGTAAAGTCTTTAGAATGGGCTCTAATCTCTTTGTGACTAGTGTTCTTATAAGTAGAGGAGACACAGAAGGAAGGAGACCATGTAAAGACGGAGGCAGATAGTGGAGTTAAGCTTCCACAAACCATGCAATATCTAGGATTACCAGAAAATGGGAAAGAGAAGAAAGGCTGATTCCTAGGAGCCTCTTGAGAGACTATAGCTCTGCTGTCACTCTGCATTCATACTGCTAGCCTCCAGAACTGTGAGACAATAAATTTCTGTTGTTTTTAAGCCACATTGTTTGTGGTAATTATATACAGTAGCCCTCAAAAAATAATACACCTGGGCAACTTTATACAAATTATATTCCTTACCCTCATCCTGTGATTCCCATCATTTACAGTTGCTGAGTTAATTCAATGTGTGTCAGAGAACATTAATGGCTGATGTTTGGGAAGTAAATCTACTTTCTTCTGTGGCACCCTCTAACTTTTCAACTAGCAGCCAAGCATGCTATCCCTTTATAGGAACACTATTTTCTGACTGAGAATCTGTAAATTATGCTAATCATCCTGTTAATATACTTAAACATCTACTCTGCTGGTTACGTGATACTCAGCACACCTGATTTTCCTCAGACTTCTCTCATCACTGCACATGTCCTTGGATCCTTGGGCTACTCTTACTCTGCTCATCCCTTTCAACTCTAGAGTCTGTATCTTAGCACATGCATCTCCACATTATGCACTTTCCTTGGACAATCTCACTATACACTGTCATAGTTTTCACTATCAGCAGAGTACTGACACCTCCCAAACCTGCATGTCCAGCACTGGTCAGGTCAGTATGCCCAATAGTCTTCCAAACATCTCCATTAGATGAGCCATAGGTTCCAAAATTGAACTCACCATATATGCCTTATCATATATGCCTCAAACCTTCCAGTTGGCCTGAATAATCATATTTACATCTCCTAGGAACACCAGTCAAAACTGAATCCTTCTTATATCATTTTCAGTGTTCAAAAACTATACATTTTACCTCCTAATATTTTGCACAACACCGCTTCTGTAATCTTGCCATTGCTGACCTAACTCAGACGCTTGAAAACTACCAAAACCAGTCATTGTCAAGTCACTTGGTGACCTCAAGTGTTGCAAAGTAGAATTGTGCTCCCTAGAATTTTCAAGGCGGTGACCTTACAGAAACGGATTACTAAGTATTTCTTCCACAGTATCCTTGGATAGGTTAGAAGCACCAGCATTTTTGTTAGTAGTTGAATGCTTAACCATTTTTACAATTCAAAGACACCAATTTAAGTAATTGCTGTTGTTAAGTGCCATCGACTTCTGACACATAGCAACCCTGTATAGCAGGAGTGGGGAACATCCGATCCTCAGGTTGTGTAAGGCCCTGACAACAACTACAGTTCCAGCCATCATATTAGGGGTGAGTTAGTCAAATATTTGACCAAATATAGCATGCTAATTTTTAAATTGATAATTTTGGATGGCCCACAAATTATATTTAAAACTTTTGGCAGAAAAAGCTTTCCCTCCTTTGCTGCATAGGGTTTCCAAATCTTTGAGGTTCAGAAAGCATCATCTTTCTCCCTTGGAACAGCTGGTGGGTTTGAACTGTAAACCTCTGGTTCGGAGTCCAGTGCTTATCCTACAGTACCATGCTTCCTATTTAAATAATTAGCACCTCTTATTTACCCAATGCTAGGAGCCCTCTTGTGCTGCTGTAGGATAAGCACTCAACCACGAGGTCAGTTTGAACCACAAGGTTGACAGTTCAAATTCACCAGCCTCTCCTCAGAAATCCTAACAGGTTCGCTATGAGTCAACTCATTCAACGGCACCTGCCAACAACAGTCAGTCTACCTCATTTTAATTTCTATCACCTCCATCCCTACCCCTTTAAAGTTATGTTCCACATCAATCTCAGAGTGAAGTATAAATCTGTGATATCATTTTCTAACTAAAGTCCTTCAACTGCAGAAGACAAAGCTGTTCATTCTCAACTCCCACCACTTTCAGCCTTACCCTTTTGATGTTTCCTATCCTTCTTCGTTCATACTTTCCTTCTACCAGAAATATCCTTTCCATCTTTCCTCATCTAGTTTACACCTTCTTCTAGGAATCCTTTCTAAAACTGCCAGGTTGCTATAGCTGCTGATGCATATCTCTTACTTATTCAATATATCACATATCAGTTACGTGTGTGTATGTGTTTCCCAGCAGATTCTAAGTTGTTCAAGAATGGAAACTGCATCTTACTTTTCTTTGTACCCCTGGCATAAATGCAATAAATATTTCCTCAGCAGGCAATAAATATTTCTTGCTGAACTGAATTAAGGAAGACAACCCTATGTCCTTTATTAATATTAATTCACTGCTCAAACTGTTTTTACAGATAAGTCAAAGGTAACACTAAAGCTAGCATTACTCAACTATTATAAATTTCTAATTAAGTTTAAATTAGGAAGCGCTTTATCATCTATCCTTTTACATATCACATTACATACCCCCTTATATTAGTGCTATATTATAAACTCAGCAGTAAATTTCAACAACCTACTCGGTAAAACTGTCATTCAATCACACTACATTTAATTTAATGAAGGTTGCACACAACTAGATGTCAAAATCCAAATGAACTAAAGTTTAGGATTGAAGGCAATTCAATTTGCACAAGTTGTATGAAGTTTCCTTTTTTCAAACCTACCCGAAAATTATCTGGGGAGCTCAAATGAAGTTTTCCCCTAATATCTTCAGATGCACCAGCACACAACCTATAAAAGATATGATAGTTCCTTTCCTCTTTTCCTTGAACACAGATCCTAGATTTCTCTAGTAGATAATGTGAAACAAATCCTCCAACGACTGAACTCTAAAAAACAAAACACAGAGAAAATTTGAAGTTATATCACATAACTTATCAATGATAAAGTATTCAGCTTTTCTAATGGACAAGGGTCTATTAAAGAAGTTACAATATTTACTAAATTAAGAGAGGAGTTACAACTAAATGTATGTTTCCATATCTGCAGAGGATCTTCCCTGTCTTGAAACATCTTCATTATAACTTTGAGGCTTTTCACCTCAATTCAGGTTCATCTAGAATGTTTTACATGAAGAATAGCTCTAAGGTAATATTTAATGCTGAAAGCAAATCTAATATTTGTGTTATAAATTAGCTTTTAGATAATCCCTTCTATAAAGTGAATGTATTTTGTTGTTGTTGTTAGGTGCCATCAAGTCAGTACTGACTCTTGGCGACCCTATGGCACAACAGAATGAAACACTGCTCAGTCCTGCGCCCACCTCACAATCGTTGCCATGTTTGAGCCCACTGCTGCTGCCACTGTGCCAATACATCTCACTGGGGGTCTTCTTTTTCTCCAACCCTCCACTTTATAAAACATGATATCCTTTCTCCAGGGACTGGTCCCTCCTGATAATATGTCCAAAATATGAGAGATGAAGTCTGGCTATCTTGGCTTCAAAGGAGCACTTTGGCTGTACTTCTTCCAACACAGATTTGTTTGTTCTTTTGGCAATCCATAGTATTTTTAATATTCTCCTCCAACACCATAACTCAAATGCATCAAGAATTATTCTATGATCTTCCTAATTCATTGTCCAGCTTTCACAAAAATATTGCTGTTGTGTTATTGTTGTTAAGTGCTGTCAAGTTGATTCCGACCCATTGTTGTTGTGTGCCGTGGAGTCGGTTCCGACTCATAGCGACCCTGTACAGGGTTTCCTAGGCTGTAAATCTTTACGGGAGCAGAAAGCCTCATCTTTCTCCTGCTGAACAGCTGGTAGTTTCGAACTGATGACCTTGCGGTTCGCAGTCCAATTTGTAACCACTACGCTACCAGAGCTCCTTGATTCCGACCCATAGTGACCTTGTATAGGGTTTCCAAGGAGCAGCTGGTGAGCTTGAACCACCAACCTTGTTGCAGTTCAAATGACTTTGCAGTCTGATGCATTAGCCCACAGCGCCACACCAGGACTCCTCACACAAATATGGTAGTGGTGGAGGTGTTGTGCCTTGGAGTCAGTTCTGACTCATAGCGACCCAGTACAGGGTTTCCAGGGCTGTAAATCTTTACGGGAACAGAACGCCTCAGTTTTCTCCCGCGGAATGGCTAGTAGTTTCGAACTGCTGACCTTGAGGTTAGCAGCCCAATTTGTAACTATATATGTTGTTGTTATTGTTGTTAGGTGCCATCAAGTTGGTACTGACTCATAGCGATCTTATGCACAGCAGAATGAAACAATGCCCGATCATGGGCCTACCTCACTACTGTTGCCACGCTTGAGTCCATCGATGCTACCACTTGGCCAATCCATCTCGTTGGGGGTCTTCCTCTTTTTCTCTGACCCTCCACCTTACCAAACATGAGATCCTTCTCCAGAGACTGCTCCCTCCTGACAATATGTCCGAAGTATAAGAGACGAAGTTTGGCCATTTTGGCCTCCAAGGAGCACTCTGGCTGCACTTCTTCCAAAATGGATCTATTGGTTCTTTTGGCAGCCCATGGCTCCAACACCATAACTCAAAAGCATCAATTCTTCTACGGTCTTCCTTATTCACTGTCCAGCTTTCGCATGCATATGAGGTTATTGAAAATAACCTTGGGTAAGGTCAGGCACACCTTAGTCGTCAAGCTGACATCCTTGCTCTTCAACACTTTAAAAAGCTCTTGAGCAGCAGATTTGCCTAATGCAATACGTTGTTTGATTTCTTGATCTCTCCAGCATAGAGAAGCTAAAGTGTAGAGATGCTAAAACAAATGGAAGAAATGAGGAGGTACAAGAGTTGAACAGAAAATTTCAAAGATCAGCTTGAGAAGATAAAGCCAAATATTACAACAAAATGTGTAAAGATCTGGAATCAGAAAACCAAAAAGGAAGAACACGCTCAGCATTTCTCAAGAAAAAATTCAAGCCTCGACAACCATATATAGGTTATTGAAAATACCATGTTTTGGGTCAGGAGCACCTTAGTCCTCAAACTGACATCTTTGCTCTTAAACACTTTAAAGAGGTCTTGTGAAGCAGATTTGCCCAATGCAATACGTCATTTGATTTCTTAACTGCTGCTTCCATGGGTGTTGACAGTTGATCCGAGAAACATGGAAGTCTTTGACAACTTCAATCTTTTTTCCATTTATATGGATGTTGTTAATTGGTAAGTGGAAAAAATTTTTGTTTTCTTTACATTGAGATGCAACCCATGTCAAAGGCTGTGTTATTTGATTGTCATCAGTAAGTAGTTTAAGTCCTCTTCAATTTCAGCAAGCAAGGTTGTATCATGTGCATAGCTCAGGTTGTTACATATATATTCTCCAACTTATTCAAGTAACAGAGAGAAACATAGATGGATTTACTATGGGTTCAAATACAGTAGTAACTCAAATTTACCACAAAATAATGGATAACAACAATCCTAACAAGACCTTTCTATTTCTCACAAACATACCCCCAAAACTCACTTTGCTTACCTTTTCATTGAAATGAATTTCTACAAATTTCCCAAATCGACTGCTATTATTGTTGCGAACAGTCTTTGCATTTCCAAAAGCTTCTAAGAGTGGGTTGGCTATTGAGAAAATGAAAACAATCCATTGAAAAATTAACATAAAGGGAAATTACTAAATAGTATGATTCCATTTTACAGAGAGATGTAGAGTAAGCAATGGACGGCTAACTGAAAGGTTGGTGGTTCAAACCCACCAGTCTCTCCCTAGAAACCCTATGCTGAGTCACTATGAGTTGGAACCAATTTAATGACACACAAGTAGATAAACAGAAAGAAAAAAAACCTAAAATATATACAATAAAAAAGAGGAATCCCCAGGTAAATGTCAAAATCCATAAATATTTGACTTTCTACTCTGTTGTTGTTAGATGCCATATTAAATCAATTCTGACACATATTATTCTGTGTAACACAGAAGAACTTCCTCATAGGGTTTTCTTAAGTTTGGGCACTATTCAAAGTGAAGGAAATGGGATAATTAGTAGTATATGGCCCAGGATCTTTGCTGATAATGAGCTCAGTTTTATACAGAAGTGAAATCAGAACAATACGTATTTTGTTGTTGAACCACCAACTCTATGGCTCAAACTGACCTTGAGGTCCAGTGCATTATCCTACAGTGCCACACTAGCATAAGAACAAGTAGTCAGTGACTCAGGAAGGTTTCACTAAAATCAGTTAACAGATTTTAGGTATATCAGTCTAGGCTGAGTTTTATAAAAAGAACAGGTGTATGCAAAGCAAACAGAAACCAAAACCACACCACTATCATCAAATTGATTCTGACTCATGGCAACCCAATATAGGGATTCTGAGATTTTAATAACTGTAAACGGAGGAGACATCCTCGGCTTTCTCCTGCGAATCAGCTGATGGGCTTGAACTTCCAACCTTGTTATTAGCAGTTCAGCACCTAACCCACAGCTCCACCAGGGCTCAGAAGAAAGGATAAAAAGAAAATAAATTGTATACAGCATTTCAGAGACCATAAAAAGGATCTCAACATTGTATCTAATTCTCAACTGACTTTGCACATCAAGTGAACAAATGAGTTAACCCATCATTTGTTCTTTCTTACTTACTCAATTTTAAAGAATTCACTATGAGTAATCCATCACATGGAGTCCTGGTGTGGTGCTTCGGGTTAATGTGCTAGACTGCAAGGCCAGTTTGAACTGCAAGGTTAGTAGTTCAAGCTCACCAGCTGCTCCTTGGAAACCCTACAGAGAGCTGCTATGGGTCGGCACCGACTCAATGGCACTTAACACCAGCAACAACAACAATCTGTTAGTTGGACTCCTGGTGCGGCACTGTAGGATAGCACTGGACTGTGAACCACATGGGTGGCAGATCAAACCCAACAGCTGCTATGAATCTGAATCAACTCTACGGCACTTAACAGCACCAACAATTCACGACTTAAGAGCCCTGATAGCATAGTGGGTTATGTGTTGGGCAGCTAACCACAAGACAGCAGTTTGATTCTACTGGCCACTCCACAGTAGAAAGATGAGGCTCTTTGCTCCCGTAAAGACTGGCAGGGTTGCTATGGGTCGGAACCAACTCAAAGGCACACAGTAGTAGCAGCAATCCATTATCTATGACATCTTCACATTTGGTGTCACACCACCACAGTTAAGAACTGTAAGTAAAAACTAGGAAATTATTTCTATTAAGATGATTTCAAAAAATTAAAAACTGTATCAATGCCTAACTTTGAAACTACTTATTAGAGTTATATTAACATATAGCTTGCTGTTGTAGCTTTATGCTGTCTAGTGGGTTCCGACTCATGTAACCCTGTATATAGTTTCCAATACCTGTTATATATGTTAATATCACCATTATTATAAAAGCACTTACTGAAAGCCCACCAGGGAAGTGAGGAAGGGAAGAGAAAGTGTTTAGACAGACCTGAACACCTTCAAAAATGACAAGGAATCTAGCATGGAATCAAATAGAAGATGACTCATGATTACAACCAGAGAGAAGAGGCCTGACCACACAGGGGTTGTAGGTGGTAATATGAATCTGGACTTTATCTTGAGAGCAATATGAAGCTATTGAAGGATTTAAAACAAAAAAAGATCATTCTAGCTTCAATACACGAATGTATTAAAGGGTAGCAAAATATAAATGGAGAGAGAGACAGGTGTCTATAACGTGGGAACAGATTCAATATGATGGTAGCCTAGATCAGTAGTTTTCAAACAGGCTACAGGAATCATTTCTAAGCACGAAAAATGTAAGGAAAATCACCTTCCACGGGTGATTCTTAAAAATTATTGGTCTGGAAGAGCACTTCAATTCCCAATAATCTTTCTCCCTCTTTTCTTCTTCACACCTCACCAAAAAAAAAAAAACAAAAAAAAAAAACGTGTAACCCTGGGTCCATCCCAAATTTTACAATTGAGGACAGGGAAAGTGATTATCAAGAAAACTAGGTCCACAAAACAAAGAAGCCGAGAGTCTCCTATATTTCTTTCATTCATTCAGCAGATATCCATGGAGTGTGGTGCTGTAGATAGAGCACGAGCCTGCAAAGTCAGTTTGAACCACAAGGTCAGCGGTTCAAACTCACCAGCTGCTCCCTGGAAACCCTATGCAGGGTCACTTTAAGTCAGAACTGACTCAGCAGCACTTAACAACAACAATTCTAGTACAAAAGGAACTCTTGTGGTGCAAGGATTAAAGCACTTGGCTGCCAATCTAATGCTCAGCAGTTCAAACCTACCAGTCACTCACGGAAAGATGTGACAGTCTGCTTCTGTTAAGCCCTGAAAACCCATGGAGCAGTTAAAATCTGTTCTATAGGGTCACACTGTGTTGGAATTGACTCAACTCAATGGCTATGGGTTTGGTTTGGAGTTATTCTAGGGGCTTGAAATATAAATGAAAATTCATGTTCTGATAGAGCTTATATGAGGTGGGAGAGGGCAGTAGACATGAAGTAACTCAGAGGAACAAAGATTTGTGGAAGATGGGAGACTCTTTGGATCTTTGGGGAAAGAGTATTCAAGAGCACTGACAGGATGCCCTTCGGCTGATTTCACTACATTCCTAACAATAGGAAATCGAGTTTCAAAGATTAGCAATACCTTCAACAATTCTATCATCAATGTCTTGACCTGTTCCATAGGATTCTGTCAGATATCTGTAACATATAAGATTAAAAAATTTAAATGACAGTGATACTGTACATATTACATTTACAGCTTAGTACCATTTAATACATTTAAAACAGAAACTAAGATTGTTTATTGTATCTGTGTTTAAAATTTTCAAATTTAGGCTGAAGTGCAAATACCCTGTAATAGCTTTTTAAACTTGTTAAAAAATCTTTTTAGATTGCCTTTAACATTCAAATCAGCAATATTTTCTTAAACTGTTTTTTAAAACATTCTGATTTTGAATACTTGATTTTCAATATAACACACATTTTATGTAGGAATATTCTGTACTATATGAGGTTCCAAAGTCATTTGTGACCTGATGTTAATTCAATGGATAAAATAAGGCAAGTTGCCACTGAACCACTAGAAGTCATCATGATTTATATTGTACTGTATTGACAGGTACAATATGACAGAATGGCTTTTTGCCTGGTATGTTTCAAAACAAAGGGTAATCTTTGATTTATCATATAGATTTTAAATTATAAATTTAACCTTAAGTTTTTGTTCATCACCACAGCCACAGATTCATCATAAGACTATCATACACGTTAGAGGAAGAGTAAGAAATTGGATTCCAAGAGTACTGGGAAGCATTTACTTAACCAGAACTGCACATACAAGAGGATTTCAAAACTTTTTGAAGTCCTCTCACACATAACAAACTCTTAAATTGGTTTTATTTAAATAACAGAATAACATATACTCTGGATTGTGGCTGTTAGGTGCCATCAAGTCTGTTAGATTTATAGCGACCCTGCATAGGGTTTCCGAGGATATTAATCTTCGTGGGAACAGAAAGCCTCATCTTTCTCCTGTAAGAGCAGCTGGTAGACTCCAACTGTCAATCTGTGGTTCAGAGTCAAGTGCTTGCTTATGCTACGAAGCAACCGCACGCCCAAGTATTGGCATAATAAGTAGCAAAATTTCAAAAAGTGTGCTGCCATGCCAGCATCAACCAAGAACTATGATAAAGTGGGAAGAGCAGCAGTAGAGAGAATTCAGAATGCAGTGGCTCTAGCAGTCCCTTCACCAGTGGTTTTAACTCCCCTGGATCTGTAAAGAACTGTAATGAGTGCTATAGTGCCTTCCATTTATAGTATGTTATGATTCAAAACACAGTAGAGACACTTTAATTTGATGACAGCAAACAGGAGGGAGGAAGGGGAGGATTTCCTTAAAAGGGGGACAATCATCACAAATATGAGGTAAAAACTGGTTCCATCTACATTGATAGCAGGGATACTGAGAAGAGAATATAAAGGTTGAATTCTAAAGGAACGCTCTATTTTCTCCTGCCGACCCAGCACGAGTCTCCTCTAGGTTCTTCAGGCAAGTAATTTGTTAGAGTTAACTTTTAACAATCTACCACTTAGCTTCCGCATGAAGTGTCTGTTTCTTAGAAGGGATAGAGCTCACTATTTCAAATTTATGCCACCAAGCATACAAGGTATCAAAAATCAACCTATTCAAAATATTTCAGATTATTTGAATACTGACCTTAAAACAAATTTTGTATTTTCTGTTTTGCCAGCTCCTGACTCTCCAGATACAATGATAGACTGACTCATCTTGAGCACCTTCATGTCTCGAAAAGCCTTATCAGCTATGGTCAAAACAACACGTTAATGGTAGGCAATATGTATTTACTACAAATGTACTAAATGATACAAATTTCGCTTAAAACTAAAGAGTATTTTGCTCCTAAGGAAAATGTAAATGTTTTACAGGTAATCAAATCTTTTATGAAAATCATTCAAAAGTCTTCAACATATTTCTAAAAGTGTTTTTTTGTTGTTGTTGTTGTTATCCTGGCAGCTGAGTAATACAAAATCCAAATAAACAACTCAGAGGTCTGTGGAGGAATAGCTCCGTATTATGAGCTGTGGCCCAGCACTCCCTAATACAGAGGGATAATAAAAATGCTCACTATGCATAACTAATGAAGTCCCCAGAGCAAAATTAGATGTAAGAAACCTAGCAACCAAAAATTCTGCTGGATAAAAATAATTATAATTGTGAAATAAAGCTATAAGGTGCTTTGTTTTGTTTTTTGTTTTCTGTTAAACTATCAAATCTAAACATCTCATAGAATTTGTAAGCGCTTCAAAGACAGGCCAAATTAGCTACTTTAAATTTCTGAGATCTGCTAATTTTAAAGACACACACACACACATTTATAACGCTAAGGCCTGTAAAAAATTAGTTTAACATCAAGTCAATTTTGACTTACAGCGACCCATAGAACAGAGCATAACTGCACCCTAGGGTTTCCAAGGCTGGAATCTTTATGGAGCTCTGGTAGGCGTAGAGGTTATAAATCGGGTTGCGAACCTTAAGGTCAACAGTTCGAAACTACCAGCTGCTCCGCGGGAGAAAGATGAGGCTTTCTGCTCCTGTAAAGATTTACAGCCTTGGAAACCCTGTACAGCGTCGCTATGGGTCAGAACCAACTCGATGGCACTTAACAACAACAACAACCACCTTTATGAAAGCAGATTGACATGCCTTTCTTCCACAGAGCGGCTGGTGGGTTCAAAACCATTGACCTTTCAATTAGCAATCAACCAATTAACCATTACACTACCAGGCTCCTTATGTATAAATAAGTGTCTTCGTTCAATACCGACAATACACTATAAAGTGTCTTCAGTAAATTTAAGATTAGACAAATACGTTGAACACAATTTAATTCCTTGTTTTGTAAAAGAGATCTATTAAGACAATTTTAATTCAAAACTAGTTCTTGACCAATTTGGCCCTATAAGGCAACTGTTTCTCTCATTTCAGAGATATACCAATCATAACAGAAAAGAAAGCTTTACAAATGGCTTTTCCTCTAAAGAAGTATAAACTACATGCAGGAATATATGCCCATCCTGTTGAAGCAACATATCAGCAACCTGTTCTACGTGTTTCTATGGAATCATTCTAAACATATTTTATTAGCAGTAAAAAGGCTAAAATTAAAAGCTGGTTTAGTAATGATCATCAGAGCTTCTTAGTGCAAGTCAACCTAATACTATCCTGCTAATAGCCCCATGGTCAGCCAAATCAGGAAATGAAGGTCAAAACAGGAATGAAGGGAAGGCCAAAAGAAACAGACTGCTTTTAGAACCAGGTGAAAATAAAACTGATGATCTTGTCTATAAATATTCATTTAATTCACAATAAAAAGTAAAAATTAAAAAAATCACAATTTTTTTAGAGTCTGACTCCAAATGATTATCTAACATCTTATACATATTTGCAGTCACTGGCTACCAGGGAGGGTAATTTCTAAGTCTTATCAAATAACTTCATCTTTCTGTGCCTCAGCGCTATAGTGCTTCAAAATGAGAGAAGGGCAGAAAGAGGCAAAGACAAACACTATTGTTTTCCTATGCTAATTCCAAGGAACATTAAGTTACACCACTATTACAATCCTTTAATTTTATGATGCAAGATAATGCAAGAGAGAAGGCTGAGTTAGCCTAATAACACAGTCTCAGGTGATGTCCTGGGTGACAGGGAAAGGTCTAGGCTTCAAAGCTGTAAAGGTCACATTTCAAATAGAGCAGCCCATGGTGAAGAGTCATAAGAACCATTAAGTCAGCTTTTATTATGTCCTGCTTTCAACTGGGTGGACACACCTATGAGGAAATAGGTACTGGCAAAGATAATGCATGACTCACCCATGAGTTGGCTACAAATGTATTCTTCTCCACCCTATGTATATGTTACTAACAATATTAATAAACCCGAAATGCATGCAGTTCCTCTAAAATATATATTCAAAAAAAAAACAAAACAAAACCCCAAACAAAGCAAATAACAATAACAACAAAAACCGAGTCAATCTCTATAAAGAAAGATTTAAAATGCAATTAAATTACATACCAATTGCAAAGACGTGAGGTGGCATTGTCCCAAGAGATTTCCCTTGATAAGACTTGATTGTTTCTGAAGTATATATTTTAGGTATGTCAAAGTATGGATTCACTGCAATCAGGATGTTGGCGACATATGTCTAAACAGGAAAAACAAACAAAATTTTTAAATTACTATTTTCATTTAAAACTAAATAAACTTCAGAGGAGAGTGAAATAAACCAAGAAGACGCAGCTAGAGAAGTAAAATACTGTATCTAGTCCTATACCTTCAGCCCTCCATATAACTAGGGGTGGTTAAGTGCACCGAGTTCATTCTGACTCACAGCAACCCTGTAAACAGTTTCCAAAGACTCTGTAGTTGGCAGTCTAGTGCTTATCTTACAGTAGTACCACAATATAACTAGTACTCTCAAATCTATATTTTTCAACTTTAAGTATTCCCTCATCTCTATAGGATCCATATTTCCCAAACTCTTTAATAAATATTTTTTTATCATCACCAACATCTCTCTGCCTTAAAGAAAAAATTCTCCACATCCTCTCCCAGGCTCACAGCATCACTACCAAGTCACCACAGTCTGAAACCTGAGTCTTTAGGCCTTATCTTGGTCCGTCTTCTTAGGTCTCTACTAAAATCTCTCAAATCTACTCCCCTAGTTGTTTTCCTTCAGCTCAGGTTTTGTTCATTTATATTCCTCAACTAGACTATTCACTTGCTCATAGGTTGTGAGCTGCTACTGAAGACTTTAATATAGCTCAAAAGATTCACTGGGTTCATCCACATCACTGAATGCCAAGAGGATTAATTTAGCTGTCTGGGTGATCACTTGGTCCCAGATGTCTGAAAAAAGGAACATACTAACTACTGCTTAAAAACACTGATGGAGATATCACGTGTGAGAGTGCTGCTCCAGGTTGAGCTCACACTCCGCAGCTGGTGGAGAGGTGGGGTCTTCAGGATCACGAGGACAGCCGGGCCCTAACCATGGCATCTCTGGGCTGTAGCTTTGTGGCCCCTGTAGCAGGAGGTTGATACAAAGTTTTGTATTGGCTCATAGCTGGCACCAGCAAGTGACATGCACTAAAGAAGATGTTATTGGATTGGGAGTCTGTGTTTCCTCCCACTGGTAAGGACACTCAATGGACTCTCAGCCCAGGACAATTGGGCTAAACTCAGTGGGATTATCCAGCTGCCCTCATCACCAACTACTATCTCTGGTCTGCTGTGCAGTTAGCCAACTTCTACCTGGTCCCCCTTCATGACAGGTTGGCTGTTGTCCAGTGTGTTGCTTCTACCAGTCCTGGAAGACACATCAGCTCTGAGCCTGCCTCGGTCCATTATTTCGGCCTTCCAACAATGCAGCTTTACCCTGGCATGGATCAGACCACCTCCTTGACACTTTCAGGGGGTTGGGTGGCTAGTCAGAACTCAATGGGGTTAGCACTTTTTACATATAAATGTAAACTGACTCCTTTTGAAATCACAAAATTCTTCATAATAGTTTTATATCTACTACACACACATGTATAACAGGCATTCCATATTTTGTCTTGATTTTGATTCAGTTTATACCCAAGTCCCAGCAAATGTTACTCCTCCCCACTCTGCATAAACAGCCCTAGTATAGATCCAGCTCTTTGGGGACCTCTCCAACCCTGTAAATGTTATTAAGATCTGAGCCCTGCAGAGTCAAGTAAGGCTAATTAGAAGATTATTGGGGCGAGTCACAATTTCTAGAGCTAGAAAGAAGCTTAGAGATCACCAAGTTCATTTTTATTTTATAAATGAGTACGAGCCCCACAAAATCAATATGACCTGTCACATCATGAGTTACTGGCAAAGTAAAAATATGAACCCAAGTTTCCTTGCTTTCTTCTGCCCAATGATCTTAACTTGAAGGTCAAATATATGTAATACTGCTGTTTTGGGTTCCAAGAACAAATTAACTTGGCTAAGTTACCACTTTGGGTCAACTCAAAAACAAAACAAAACAAAAAACGCTGATGGACTAAATATTTAGTGAGCAATTTAAGCTTGCTTTTAAATTTGTAGCGTAGTGGTTATGAATCGGGCTGCCAACCTCAAGGCGGGGGGGGTCAGCAGTTCGAAACTACCAACTGTTCCGCGGGAGAAAGATGAGGCGTTCTGCTCCCGTAAAGATTTACAGCCTCGAAAACCCTGTACAGGGTCACGATGAGTCGGAACCGACTCCACAGCACATAACAACAACAACAAGGAAATCAGAAAATGTGCCTATAGAATTTATAAAATCTCTTACTAAACATGAAAAAAAGTTGTGGTTTAATAATGTTGGCAAAATTAGTACATATAGTGTCATATTTTTATCTTTTCTGCTTCTATTTGTGGAAGGAAAATAATGTGTAAACTCTTGAGCTCTCAGAGTACAAATCTAAAGATTAAGAAATGTTCCCAAAGGTATTTCCTAGACTGGAGTAAAAATAAGAAATCCCAGATAATAATCTGTCTATGAGAGACGAAAGGAAAGTTGCAGAGATTTTAATAACCAATGTGAACATGAAATGTGGGTTAGCTATGATTTTATTCAAATCTAAAGGAGGCTGTAATAATTCTGATTAGTAGAAAATATAAAAATAACAAATTAAATTATAATTTTAAATCACCTCCTTTCCTTACATATATCATAGCAATAATGGCTACAGTTATAAATATCTGCTTTTTAATGTTTTTTATAACTAAAGGGATAATTGCCTGGAAAAAAAATGCATATCAACCATGGCTTCAATAAACTATAAAAACACTGGGTCTGTAAACAGAGTTCATGAGCACAGACAGCCACGATCGAACAGAAGTTATCTGCCAACTGCAGACATATGAATGGGAAGGAGCAAATGAAAACTAGGAGTAGCCCTAAAAACTCAATGATTCATTCAACATGATGCAGCCATTATGTATGAGAAACAAAAAATTATAACTTCCCAGAGAACCAGGTGATTTATTTTTTCCTATCAATTATGCAATTTAGCAATGACTTGTGAAAAAAGTGGACAACTACAGTTAATACTTAATATAAATTTTCAGTTATTAGTAGTCAAAGTTCAAAGTGTATTATTACTACAACACAGGAAACATTAAAAGACCAATGAAAACCACATGAATATTAATGCTTTGTATGTTCTTGTTGTTTAGTGCCATCGAGTCAGTTCTAACCCATAGAGAACCTGTATAGTTTCTATGGTTGTAAATCTTTGCAGGAGCAGAAAGCCTCATCTTTCTCCCACAGAGCAGCTAGTAGACTTGAACCATCAGCCTATGGATTCCCCATATGGAATCATTCCAACATTTTTTTAATATCTCAAATACAAATAAATTATAATCATTCTGTAAAATAAAAGTATTTCTAAACCTGAAAAATACATATTGAAACAATTAAAATTTGATCAAATAAAGAATAAAAAAGATCCCTCCACCATCACTAAGTGATACAAAACATATAAAAAAAAAAAAAAAAAAGACCAATTCTACTTGTTTCCTGGATAGCAAAGAATTAACACTCACTGTATTTATTCACTACAAATTAAATTATTGTAACAAAAACAACATTAAAAATTTCTATTATATCATATCAACAGATGCCATTAGTATACATCAGGTGCTCAATATGAATTTGCCAATCGAGTGAGTTTTACTTCTACATATTTTCTCTAATCAAGACTAGCCATATTTTAACCTAAATATACTTTTAAATTGATTTTGAAAAAATCAAGAAAACAAAACCTTAAAATTTTAAATAAACACACATGGAGGGCTTTAAAAAGTTCATGGGGAAATTCCATTATCGGTCAATTCCATTTTTTCCATGAAGACGTCAAGTAAACTCTTTTGGAAAAGACTACATTAGTCCTACTTGCCAGCTGTCACTACTTGGACAGATGGCAAAGACTAAAGGTAATTGAGTCAGAATCAAGTAAGTACAATTAGGCAAACTGATAGTGATATAAAAGATGAAGATTGTCATTTGATCTAGGAGGTGTCAAAGAAGCCAGGCATTTTCTTCGTTCAAAAATAATGAAGAGTCCCTCTTCATAACAGGAGAACTACCGGTGGATAATTTATCTATCTCTGGACAACAAAGGACTCTACTACTAGGTCATATTAGAATAAAATCTTGCACACTGCCAATGAATAATTACAATTACAGCATACTAGTCAAATAATTAAGGAGCTCTGGTAGCATAGTGGTTACAAATCGGGCTGTGAACCGCAAGGTCAGCAGTTCGAAACTACCAGCTGTTCCGTGGGAGAAAGATGAGGCTTTCTGCTCCGGTAAAGATTTACAGCCTTGGAAACCCTGTACAGGGTCGCTATGAGTCGGAACCGACTCCATGGCACATGACAACAACAACAACAGTTAAATATTTATTTGAATCATTTGGTATAAACCCTGATTATTTACACTAAAGCATTCTTTCTCATTTTTTAATACTTTGGATTTTAAAGGATATCTGGAGTTTACTGAAATATTGTAACTATTTAGGTTCAGCACTTCTGTGTTCTTGCTATTTCCTCATATTCTGACTGCATTCTAATCTGTATTTTACCTTTATTCAAACTTTTTATTTCAATATCTTTGTGCTTTAAATTCTCTGTAAAACACTGTAGAAAGTGAATTTATTAAACAGGATACTGAAAGAAGAAAAAAAATCAACATCCAAAATTATTTTTATGTTTTTAATATAATCAAACTGGATTTTTCCTTTTTTTGTTTTTTTAATATGAAGGTGATGTTCTGAACTCATTTCCATTCCACAAATATTTATTGAATTTCTACTAGGTGTCAGACAAGTTCTGAGTTAGAGGTGTAAATGACGATAAAATTCCTAGTCCTCAGGGCGCACACACTGTCCAGCAGGTTCAGAGCCGTGTGGGGTTACCTGTTAGAAAATCCTCAGTTCAAAACAGCCAAACACGTACAATTAAAAAAAAAAAAAAAACACCTCACAAAAACTTAAGTCATAGGTAAAATACTTACATAAATTCTGTCTTTACTATACCGAACTTTGATATTATGGAGCAGTGTGGCTTCATTTAAATACATTAGTGAACCTAAGAAATAAAAATTTGCAAAATATTAGATATTTGGGGAAAAAGAATAAATAATACTATCTTAAACCAAAATTACTTTGACCTATGCTAAAATTCAGCTGCAAGGTTAGATTTAACTCAATCTTTTGAAAGCTCTGGTACAAGTAAACCTCAGAAATTGTTTTAATATATTTCCAGTTCACAAAGTTGTTACTCTAATATTTTTAAACAATTAACGTCCAACTGAAGAACTCACCTGATGAAGGACACCATCATTCTGAAACTAATCCAGTGTGAAACTCAGAATTTTGCAGATAAAACTCAAAAGATAAAAGTTTAGAATCGTAAGGGACTGTTCCATCATTTTGCCAGAGTCCCTCAAAACTGATATGATGAGAAATTACAAACATCTTAACTCAAGATATACAGCTAACTCTTGGTATGATGTTGTAGGATCAGCACTGGGCTGTGACCTATAAGGTTGGCTGTTCAAACCCACCAGATGCTCCTTGGAAACCCTATACAGGGTCACTATATGTCAGAATCAATTCAACAGCACATAACAACAACAACTGCAAATCAGGATGGTGTGGTGAGGTGCCATCAAATCAATTTCTATCCATAGTAACCCATCGTGACAGAAGAATTGTTCCATAGGGTTTTCTAGGCTGTAATCTTTACCATAGCAGATTGGCAGTTCTTTCTTCCATGGACACATTGGGTGAGTTTGAACCACCAGTGTTATAGTTAGCAGTGGAGCTCTTAACCTTTGTGCTACCAAGACTCCTTAGAATCAGAATAGATACCGTGTTTTCCTGACATCTGTTGTACTAATAAGCCAAAGTTGACTCCCAATCTCTTTTTCTAGACCTCCAATATCCTGTTAAGTATAGAATGCTATTTCTGTTCTTCTGGAGTACTGGTGTGGCACTATGGAATAAGCACTGGACTGCTAACTGCAAGGTTGGTGGTTCAAACCCACCAGCTGCTGCTCAAAAACCTTATACAGGGTCACTGTCTGAGTCCAAATGGACTTAACAGCACTTAACAATACTTACATGCTAATTAAATAAAACCATGACTCTTTCCAACACCCTTTTTGCTGTTATTAGCACCATCATTTTTTTTTTCAGTCATACAGATTGCAAACCTTAGTCAATACTCAGACCATCTTTCTTCTCTTCCTTTCTAATAATTTTTCAAGTTTTCATACCATATAATAATAAAGCAAAGCACAGTTTCGGCTCATCACTGGTGTTCATTATCTGAATCTCTGAAATGTCTGTCCTTTGTTTCCATTGCCACAATTCTGGTTTAGGTCTCATTACCGCCTTTGTGATCACAGTGATCTCTGAATGACCTTAGTCTCTCTCATCCATCCAATCTGACACATTAACTAAACTATGCTGTTGTTAATTGCTGCCTAGTCGGATCCCAATTCATGGCAACCCCACGTGTCACACAGCGTAGAACTGTTCATAGAGTTTTCTTGGATGTAATTTTTACAGAAGCCATTGGCCAGACCTTTCTTCCACAGAGCCTCTGCTTTTGCGAAATGTCGTTGAGTTGATTCAGACCCACAGCACCCTGAGTAGGGTTTCCATGGAGCAGCTGGTGAGTTTGAACTGCCTACCTTGCAGTTCAAACAGACCTTGAAGCCTAGTGCATTATCCTACAGCGCCACATCAGAACTCCACAGAACCTCTTTGCGAACCTTTCAGTTAGCATCCACTCATAAATCACTTATATCATTCAGGCTCTGAAACCTAATTAAATCTCTCCTGCTCAAAAGCATCAATGTCCAAAGCCCATATTCAAGTCTGACACTCAAAGTCCTTAATAAACCAAACCTGGAGTAAACTGACCTTTCTATAATTTTCCAAAATTCAATTCAATATGTTGTAAGTAGCAGACAGTCTAAACTATTCACCAAACCCAAAAATCATTCACATATTGCTTTCAGCCGGAAACATCCTCTACATCTCTTTTGCTGTTGTTAGGTGTCTCCAAGTTGGTTCCGACTCATAGTGACCCTATACACAACAACAAAACACTGCAGGCTCCTGTGCCAGCCTCACAATCATTGCTGGGTTTCAGCCCATAGTTGCTGCCATTTCAAATATTATGATCACGCCCCCATTTTTTCCCTTCCTCAATACTAATCTCTTCTTTGTGTTTTTCTTTATACTGACTATCATATACCGTCAATATTATCATGATATTTTTGCATATCTGATTTGGGTTAAAAATACATGACTCATTTCTATGTGATCCTCCACTGCAAATGCATAGTACTCAACACCCAGTTCAACACCTAACTGATGCTGTTAAACAGGAACCTCTTGCTATACTTATCTCATTCATAGTGCAGCTAGTTCACTTTCCAAGGGAACATGCCTCACTGCTTTCTTATATCACTTAAAACAGAATAAAACAGAAGTGGGTAAAACCTCAGAACAGATGAATGGCAGCTCTCCCTTGTAAGGAAGAACAATGAGAGGAGATAGGCAGGTTTGGGTTTTATTTCCCTCCCTTTCTACATGCCTGTGTCTCTGTGTCTCCCACTCTCATCCCCTAAGAGCCCGAGTCTACATGTTGCCTTTCCCTGATGCAAAGCCTGCACTACTCCCCCGTGTCTCACCTGCCACTGTACGATAGATATCCAATCTCACATGACACTTCCCTTGTAAAGTTAATCACAGAAACCTACACTGGTGTGTGAACGGCTGCTACTTTCCTTTCTTCACTTCCTTCCACACTCACCACTTGCCTTCTTTGGGGTTTCTGTTAACTACACCACACAAATCTCTTAGCTCGTGACCTATCTGCCAATGACCAAAATCATTTACATGATTGATCTTCCCCTTAAATCATGCTACTCAGCATACTCTATTTTCATGAAGACATGGAAAAGGAAAATCTGTATGCCGTTTGGTTTGTTAGACTGGTTAATGGTAGTTCTTGGTTGCCCACACCTCCTTGAGTTATGAGTATAGGAATGTTCACCTGAGCCTGAGCTTCCTGCTCACCTAGTTCCCTCCTAGTAGCCAACCTAAGGATGACTTGGTTTGCCTAGTTACATGCAACCTTGCATACACACATTTTGCATTTTATGCCTAATTACTCACAGATTTTATCAAACTCAAAAGAATCTAAAAATTTTTAATTTTTAAATAAGATGAATCATAAAAAGCTCATAGAAAAATGGAATTAAAAGATAATTAATGATTTTCAACAGCTTTTTGAAACCCCCTCATATAAATAATGAACAGAGTTGGTTTCTATAAGCACAGTCAGTTGTTGTTGTTAAGTGCCATCGAGTCGGGTCCGACCCATAGCGACCCTGTGCAGGGTTTCCGAGGGTGTAAATCCTTACAGGAGTAGAAAGCCTCATCTTTCTCCCGCGGAGCAGCTGGTAATTTTGAACCGCTGACCTTAAGTTCGCAGCCCGATTCGTAACCACTACGCTACCAGAGCTCCTTAAGCACAGTCAGTAGTACTTTGTAATAATAATATAATTCCAACACCTGAAAATTTCTAATGAAGACTTCAAAAAGTTACTGAGAAGGTCATAACAAGGTATCACTTCCCTGTTAAATTTGAGGATCTGACTAGAGAAATAGATGAGCATCACTAGGGTAGTAGTACCTCACCTCAGACACTGTCAGAAGGAGGGACACCCAGTGGCAGGGGCTGGCACCACAGAGGGAAGAGTTGTCATGGCAGGATTGGTGTCACCAGTCTGATAACTCATCACCCCACCCCTACCCACCAGTCAGGGTGTGGTCAGGTGGACCACGAGGATGGTCTCTGCCTTGGCCAGTGGGAGAGGGGAGAAGCTGTAGGGAGATGGGTGGGGGGAGTAGGTGTGTGCACCAGAAGTTATCACACTGGATGATACTGTTTAAGAACATACTTATCCATTACAGTTCTAATTCACTGAAACAACAACAAAAAGGAACTCACAAACAGATTTAACACAGCAGATATCAATTTTACCATTTTATACTGTCTTTGAAGGAGCTCTGGTAGCGTAGTGGTTACGAATCGGGCTGCAAACCGCAAGGTCAGCAGTTCGAAACTACCAGCTGTTCTGCGGGAGAAAGATGAGGCTTTCTGCTCCCATAAATATTTACAGCTTCGGAAATCCTGTACAGGGTCGCTATGAGTCGGAACCGACTCCACGGCACATAACAACAACAACATACCATCTTTGAAGTCATTCTATTACTGAAAAAGAAATTGAATCAGGCAACTTTTAGAATCCTTTCCAAATTTTGTAGTCTATACCATATTAGTCTCAACTGTTACCCTTACACAACTGTTACCCTTACAGATAACCTGTTAGCAGTTGAGACTAATGTGGTATAGAAAGAGGAACTCTAGTGGTGCAACAGTTAAATATTTGCTGCGAACTCAAAAGTCGGCAGCTCAAACCCACCAGCCACTCTGCAAGAGAAAATGTGGTTGATGATTTCAAACCCTTGCCTCATCACTAGGTCTCCTTCTACCTAGTAATAACATCTAACACTGAGAGCCTATGAGATATCAGGAACTGTGCTAAGCATTTAAAAAATATCACTTCAAAGCATGCATCATATATATTATTACTCATATTTTACAGCTAAGAAGCTCAAAGAGAAGAGATAAATTGTCCATGGAAACTCTGTTCCTAATAGCACAGCCAGAAGTGGACCTCAGATATGCATGACTGCCACCACCCCACTACCTCCATTCACATATGAGAGGGGAGAATTAACAAGGTTACTTACTCTGAACTCCAGAGAAAATCAACAAGGGACAAACTTACTCCTTTCTCTTAACTTTTTCTTAAATAGAGCATTTCTAATATCAGATACCATTTAAAAATGCATGAAAACTTGACATGATTCCTGAATATTGCCCCACCACACACAAAAAATGAAAACTGATTACTGCTTTATCTAGAAAAATATATAGTGTTATTTCCACTACACATGCTGAGATCATTATTTCTAACTCAAATTAATGTTGCATTTTAATATGTTTAATGATTAATATAATATTCAACTAGTAATTAAGACATAATTTTGGGGGTTTAAGTTTAGTTACTTCAAACAGTGACATACAGTGCCTCTACTGACTTAACTTTCTAATTACTGAACCATATGTATGACTATAATCTCTTGATTCTAGTTGTAGTTCAAATTAATTCTTTCAAATCAGTTAATAAGGGTTCATTAGCTAAATTATTAAAGTAATTGTTACCAGTCACCACTTTTATCCAATTAAAAAAAAAAAACTCTAAAAAGGATATTTAAGGTAACTTTTCACCAAAATGCAAATGTGAGGCAATAATAAATTTAGAACTCTTGAATTTCTCCATTCACATGAACCTTATGTCAAAAACCTGTATTTCTTCTGAAGTTGTCTAGTGTATCTAGTAATGTAACCACTAATTTAGAACAATTTTCTTTTCTATACTGAGAAATAATTTTAGCTTGATACTTACAGTTATCTTCCACATCCTTTTTGCTGTCCTCTTCTGCAGGAAACACTTGATTTATAACAGCCAAAAATGTCTAACAAACAAAACAAAAACTCACTAAGACAGAGGCTTATAAAAAATAAGAATAATAAAGGAGCTTAATTGGTTGTATACAGTGTAATAATGGCAATAACATACTCTTTATTAAAATGCAATTAGTTACTAGTATTTAGCAAGTCACTAACCCTAAAACAGAGTAAATTTACAAAAATGCATTATCCACTGTTACCCTGAACCTGAATCAATAATGGAAAAAAGTAATTAAGAATCCTAGGCTCTAACATTTAGAGTGGAGTAAAAGAAGTATCTTAATATTCAGTTTATATAAGTAAACTATATAAAACTAATAATCTTATTTAAAAAATAAAAAGTTTAATGTTTATACATGATATACATCAGTTTTACTGCTTTAATAAAAGGATAATGTAACATTCAATCATCCAGTTATAACTACAGAACAGACTATTTTTTTCTTTAATGACATTGAGTAAAACATATACAGAAATATAAATAGTAACCAAAAAAAATTGGTCCAAAACACTACAGATTCCCCCTTCCAAGACTAAGGCTCAATGGGAATACATGCTCTGATTGGTGACCACGTTCGTCACCGATAAGGGAAAGTAAGGGAAAAACAGCAATGAAGCTGCAAGCTAAGCCCTACAATGTTCAATAGACTTCTGTGAACCCGGGTGGAGACCAGTGTGGCAAGACCTGGGAACTCTTGGGCCCAGAGTCAGTGACATAGCCACAGAGGACTAGAGTGGAGAGGACTAGAGCTGATAAGAAGAGAGGGCATATGCACAAGAACACCCACACTTGCAGATAATACCCACTTAACCTGGCTTCAATGACTGGATGATCAGAACTCAACTAGAGGAAGGAAGAGGAATAAAAGAGTAATCGGATACCATTTGATGAACCTGACCTACACCTATGGATGCAGTAGCTCAAAAGAGGGAACAAATCTTTACAGCGAGGATCATTCTCACCCCTTCCATACACAAAGTAGACAGGGATGGGCAACTTGAACACTGGCTACCCAAAATGGGTGGGGGAGGGCTGTACAAAGGCAAGAAGTTACTGGCTTACAAGCTTTCAAGAGGGAACATAGATTCAGAGGGCATGAAGGAAGATAGAATCTCCACTTAGTATACAATCTGTCTAGGCAGGGTTGATGAAATGAAATGCAGGTGGGTCTCTTGTGATACAATAGTGAATAATTGTTATCAGGACTGATTATGAAGGTTGGAAATGTAAAGGTAGACATTTTGTAGCAAGGAGGGGAGTAATAAACTTTTCAGCCTAGGAGCGGAGGTCCCTGGGATCATCAAGGGAAAATATCGGAGAGTGGGACCCTACCCAGAGAAGGAGTGATGCCTGAGATGGAGGCAGAGATGATGACGTGGAGAGATGGAGCAGTTGGGGACTTTAGACACAGAGAGGGAGAAGGGCTGTGTGCTGACGACCGGGGGGAAGGCTTGTAGTGTATACCATGTGGTTGGTTGACGATGCATGGAGGGAATTGTAACCACGGCAATGAAATGATATACGACAGGAAGAATGTAAAACTAATGTTCTCCCCCATGTAAATTATCACATAATTGACAATAAAACATTAAAAAAAACAAAAAACTACAGATTCCCATGAGTAAAAACTAATGATCCATTCAATAATACATTTTATCAATTAAAAGTTCTGGTTGACACTCTAGAATTAAGAAGATGTCTTCGTGTAAGAGAGAAAAAACTGTCTCAAGTTGCATCTAGAGAAAATTGAATTTTATCCATGTCATTTTAATGCTGTTGTTGTTAAATGTCATCAAGTCAGTTCCAACTCATAGCAACCCATTCAATAGGGTTTGCAAGAGCAGCTTGCAGGTTTCAACCACTGATCTTGTGGTTAGCAATCCAGTGCTTATCCTATAGTGCCACACCAGGAACCCTGATGTTGTTGTTAAACGCCATAGAGTCGGTTCCATCCCATAGGGACCCTGTATAGGCTTTCTGAGCAGCAGCTCGTGAACTTAAACCTCCGGCCTTGAAGATTAAACTGACTTTGCAGTCCAGTCCATTAACCCACAGCGCTACACCAGGGCTCCAGGAACTCTGATACCTATAAATTGATATTTGGCAAAAAATTACAATTTCTCTTGTGAGGTAAGTTTTCATACCCGTCAAATAAAGCTCTAAAAAAACAGTTCACTTAAAAGTATTATTTATAAATCTATAAAAGCAATATAGGAGTACTTGTGCGTCACTGTAGGATAAGCCCATTTGAAATGCAAGGTCAGTAGTTCAAACCCACCAGCCACTTCTCAGAAAGTCTATGCAGGGTTGCTATGAGTCAGAGCCAACTCACTGGCACTTAACAACAACAGCGAAAGCAATGTAAGACAGGACTATTGCTGTTTGGAGTCCTGGTTAGGCATTAAGGGTTAATGAACTCAACTGCAAGGTCAGTTTGAATTGCAAGGTTGGTGGTTCAAGCCACCAGCCACTTCTTGGAAACCCTACAGGGTCATTATGGGTCAGATCCGACTCAACAACAACAACTGCTGTTTACTGAATAAAATCCAGGCTGC